ACGTGTGGAAATATGACTATGCAGTTTTCAAAACCTCTAGAACTATGTGCCCCAAAGAGTAAATTTTATTATACGTAAATTAAAAAACACTTCCTTAATTGATTCCTTTTCACGAAAACATTTGATAATTATTGCTGTGGAAGTATTTATAGTTAGACTTATCCTGCCATAGCCATAATTCCTTCCTGATTCTTTACACAGGCTGAGAAAGACATACATGTTGTTTGTGGCTATAGGCAGGAGAAGGTAGAAGAAAACTTATCCCCAAGGATAATACTTAAATGACCAATTTTTCCCTGATAAAAAAGTCCTCATGAGACAGAAAAAGCAGAGAATAACCACTGGCCACAGGACATCAATAAGGCCACATAGCTACACACAGTGATTAGTCCCCCCAACTTGCCTTGAAAGGACGATGGGGACAGCGATGTGGGAGGGCCACAGGAAGTGCAAGAATGAGAGAACAGTGAGGCCTAGAGGTCTCCATTAATAATAGAAGCAGCAACATGAGTAGCTGTCCCTAGTTGAGTGCTGCCCACGTGCCAGGCACGGTAGTAGTAGTAGTAGTAGTAGTACATCCATCTTAGTCCTCTCAACAGTTCTATGAAGCAGGTATCATTTATTTTATAGTTCACTGATGAGAACCTTGAGACCCACTGGGTTAACTTGACTTGTCCACGTTCACACAGGAAGAGACGGGGAATGTGGTGGGGACCCTTGTCCACTCTGATGGCAGAACCCATGCTTTCCACACTGCCAAGTTACCTCCAGGAAAAGGGAGCTTATCCATAGACAATCTATCACATACAGGGTATTTAACATACCTCAGAGGTCATGCTCCGGCTATTAAAGAGCACGTGTGTACTTTATATAGGAGACATACTATCGAAAATCTAATATTAATTTTTTGAAAAGTTTATTCAGACTCAAGAAGCACACTTGTGGAAAGAACGGTAAAATAAATAGTAAAGAATTCCTTTGTGAAATAAATGATCACCCCACAATCCTTAGGCTGCAAAAGTTTGGATTTTTATATAATAGACTAGAGGCCCGGTTTATGAAATTCATGCACTCGGGGGTGGGGGGTGGTCCCCCAGCCTGGCCTGTGCCCTCTCACAGTGCGGGAGCTCCGCGATCGATTGCCCGAAAGAGGAAGGCCCCATCCACCCATCCAGGGCTCCTCAATGGATTGCCCCAAAGAGGTAGGGCGGAGCTGCGGAACCCACCTTCGCGCTGTGCACGCAGCATCAAGCCCCCGCCCACCTACGTGTGCCTCGCTGCGCACGCAGCCCCACCCACCTGCGTGCGCCGGCTGCGCACGTAGCCTCCTGGTGATCACTCATTACGGCCTGAGGGCGTCATGACCACATAGGCTTTTATTATACAGGATTTTCTTAAGACAGGGCATAGTTTTAACTTGTAATGCGTTTTTAAAAAACCTATGTCTATTTAGTCAGTCTTGTAAGTAAATAAGTCAACAAGATTAAGAAGTTTTATGGAATGAATAAATAAAGGACTTTAGTTAGTCACCTTTTATTTTACAGCTCTTCTAAAGAAACAAAAGGAAGCATGGGACAAATTAAAATCCTTAACATTCCACCACTATGACTTGCAGGATCTCAGTAACAGTGTGCTGGGAGGTAGCTCCAGGCAGCCACATGGCCACTGTATCCATTCCCCAGTTTATATATTCAGTAGCTAAGTTCCATATTAAACAGAAAAGGGGTTACCCAAAGATGCTGAGACCACAGAAATTAAGTAAATATCGATATAGCATTTAATGCACATAATGCATTTACTAGCACAATAAAACATTTAAATATTTGGGCTACTCCTGGAGTAAGCCTGGTATAAAAACCATCTTTAATTCTATTTTTTTTCAATTGTTAAAGAATAGAGAACAAAATTCTCTCTCAACAAACCGATCAACCTCATATGCTATTTTCCAGCTCCCACTTAAAAATGAACAGGATGAAACAATCTGTCCAAAAAATAGAGTCATTACACAGAAAAACACAATGATGCAAAATAACACATTTCAAACTTGGCTCACCTAAAGAGAAAGCTCAGATCAAAATATCTCATGCTAGAAATAATAGTATACAATGCCAAATAATCTTTCTTTAAGAGAATAAAATTTAGAACTCAAATGTGTGTGGTTCCAAATTATGATCAGAAACATATTAAACTAATACCCAAATCCAACCAAAAAGTGCAGAGCTAAGGGCTCAAAGGATATTCTAAAGCACTGAAAACTCAGTGCCCACAAAGTAATCTGAAAAATACTTGCTCAAAATGTTCACAGGAACTTCATGTTTGTGGTGCGGGACAGAAACTGTGCCCAAGAATAATTAGATGATGGTTCTGTAATTTGTAGAAATTCCATTTTTCACCTATTAGAATGGTGACATCACAAGCATCAAATCCATATATGTAAAAGCCTAAGCGACCCTTACGACAGAATGACCGGAATGACCAGAACGACCAGTTGCTATGATGCACATTGACCACCAGGGGGCAGACGCTCAAAGCAGGAGCTGCCCCCTGGTGGTCAGTGCGCTCCCACAGGGGGAGCACCGCTCAGCCAGAAGCCAGGTTCATGGCTGGCAAGTGCAGCTGTAGCGGCAGGAGCCTCTCCTGACTCCATGGCAAGTGACGGCAGCAGGCACAGCGGGCCAGGATGAGTACGAGCAATGGCACCTGGCCCCGGTTCTGGTTCCTCCCTGGCCACCTGCCGCTTGGCGCACTGCTACATCCCTTGGGGGGTGTCTGACTACCAGTTTAGGCCCGATCCCCGCAGTGATTAGGCCTAAACCAGCAGTTGGACATCCCCAGAGGGGTCCTGGGATTGCAAGAGAAGTGCAGGCGGGGCTGAGGGAACACCGCGCCCCCCCTGCCCCCGCCCGCCCCCCACCCCAGTGCACAAACTCATGCACCGGGCCTCTAGTATTAAATAAATTTCCGGCAAACTTGGCTAATGTTTACTAGGCCCTCTGATAATGACTAAAGTTCCAAACTCAAATCCTTATTTGGTTTACAAACAGAACACTTTTACAGCATCTGTAAGAATAAACTCAAATGAGGTTAGTTAACTTAAAAAAAAAAACTAAAGTAAAATGCAATGTTAAGTTAATTAATGTATGCTAAGTGGCTGTAAGTTAAAGTGTAATGACTTTGGTAAAACTCAATGAATTTGGTAATTTTATAAAATCTGCCCAAAGTTTTTGGACACCAGGCTGAAAAATGCCGAAATTTGCCTTCTCTCTCTATACTAAACCCCCTAGCTTCTATAAAATAAATTAGCACTTCAAGAGATTTCCGAAAGGCAAACCTGCTGTTTTGGAAACACAATTCCAGGTGCGGGTAAGTCAACCATATCGGCAGGGGAAGAAACCATAACGTGCATTTTGCAACATACCTTTTCTGGAAGCTGGGATTCCACTTCCTTCTTCAGTCTCCGCAGTAAAAATGGTCGCAAGACCTTATGTAGACGCCGGATGATCAATATAGTTTCTTCTTCATTCAAGTCCACCTACAAGAAGAGAACCGTAGATGACTTTTATTTTCTTTAAAGGATGTTTCATGTAATAACACTTTATGTTACATTTATTATTCATTTCAATATATGTTTGAATGTTTATGTGTTAAGGCCAGGTTTATACCTGGCCACATACACCTCAGAATCCTCTTCCCACCTGCCTACCAGTTGGAAATAAAATAGCCTCTAAATGGGTGTTTGTCTTACGGATGGGTTTGTGGAAAAGGGCTCAGAATTTTATGGGACATAACTGGCAATAAAGACTGACTGAAGCCCTGGCCAGTTGGAGCATCATCCTATGTGGGTTCATACCAGGTTATGGGTTTGATCCCTGGTTGGGGTGCATAGGGGAGGCAACCGATCGATGTTTCTCACATTGATGTTTCTCTCTTTCTAAAATCAATGAAAACATATCCTTGGGTGAAGATTAAAAAACAACCCACACTGGGGGCAGGGGGAGGAAGACTGACATAAAACATGAGTAGCCCTGACTGGGTAGCTCAGTTGGTTAGAACATTGTCCCAATATACCAAGGTTGTGGACTTGATCTCCAGTCAGGGCACATACAAGGATCTACCAATGAGTGCATAAATAAGTGGAACAACTGTTTCTCTCTCCCCCCTTCTCTCTCTCTCTAAAATCAATTTTTAAAAAAAGATTATTAAAGAAAAATAAGAGAACACGAGTAGAGCGACAACAGTTAATGTGTTCTTACTTAAAGTGGAGGCATTAGGTTAGGCTCTTAACTGTGGCTCAAAGGCAGGAACATGCCAAGGGAATAGGCTTGCACACAAAGATGAAAACAAAAGTAGATCCAGCTTATGTTGGCTGATTTCTAAGCCATGCTACCTTGCTCTTCCTATCTTCTGCCCTGATCTTGTTGGAGTTACAGTCACATTTATAAAACCCTCTGCTTTCTCTTTCACCCTCCTCTATCACCTCTAGGGGGCAGAGTTGATTGACTCTATACAAATGGGCGAGTCAATAATTTATTGATAAAAAGAAAATGTACCATACTACTAAAGGGCTAAAGAGTTCCAACCTAAGTTTTCCTAGAGCATTCTTTCTGGCTTTGCATTCCTATAGTTAAGAAATCACAAACCAAAGGACATGTGCCCATTCCTATAGTTAAGAAATCACTAACCAAAAGGTCATGTGCCCATTTCTTTTCTTACAATGGCTCGGGCCCTCCTTTCATCAAGGAGCTCCAAGAGAAGATAGATAGTGGAAGAAGTGGAGGTAAGAAATTTAGAAATGGCTGCTCCAGACTTGAGGAGTATTTATGTAGACACAAAACTGAGGCTCACACTAAACTCTCAAAAAACGTGTACAGAAAATTAGTGTACAACTTCAGTCTTACACACACACTCTTGATGAGGAAACAGTTTAAAGGGAAGCCCACGTTTATAACAAGGATGTACATGTCTTAAGGTTTATGTTCAGCTGGTGAGTTGACCTGTTAAACTGAGGCAGTAACTATCCCTCCACGGGTCCCCCTGGCCCACAGCAGTACAGCATCCCACCGTCAGGAATGTCCTCTGGCGGCCTGGTTGGAGTCAGGACACCCACACTTCACTAGATCCGCTTTCTTCAGAGGGGACACACCCGGGAATGAGAACATGTGCCCCTCGGGTTAGCTTCGGAACGGGGGAGACATTGTAAACCACCCTGTGGGTTTCCTGTCGCTCTAATGTTCTCAGCTCTAGATCCTTTCATTTCATTGTCAAGTAGTGAAAAAAAAAACAAGCTAGACCAGTACCCTTTCTCCAGTCATGGCAAACGGAGCATTGAACCACTGTTCGAAGGTGCTGCAGCTCTTGAAAATGGTGGGGAGGAGGAAGTTGAGGAGCGCCCAGAGCTCCGGGAGCTTGTTCTGCAGGGGGGTCCCGGTCAGCAGGATCCTCCTGGGGGCCACGTAGTGCGTGTTCAGGACCTGAGTCAGCTTGCAGTGGTGGTTCTTCATCCGGTGGCCCTCGTCCACGATCATGTACTTCCACCGGATCTGTAACGTCAGACGGACCGACATGCGGTGAGCAAGGGAAAAGACGACGATTTCCAGGAGGCAAGCGGTGAAATGGAGCCCTAGCTGGTTTGGCTCAGGGGATAGAGCGTCAGCTCAGGGACTGCAGGGTCCTGTGTTCGATTCTGGTGAAGGGCATTTACCTCGGTTATAGGCTCAGTCTCCGGCCTGGCACATGAGGTAGGCAACCAATCGACGTGTCTCTCACATCGATGTTTCTCTCTCTGTCTCTCCCCCTCCCTTCCACTCTCTTAAAAAAATATAAGTCGATGGAAAAAATATCTTTGGGTGAAGATTAATAACAACAAAAAAGAGGTGAAGTGGAAAACCAAAGAATCCATATCTAGTGAAACATATGGTTCTCCTTAGGATAAAAGAACCTCAACAGTCTCTATCCCATACCTGACAGATCAGATATGTCATGTAACAACGGGAAGCTAAAGCAACTAGGTTCCTTAGAGGCCATGTAATTCCAAGCCACCCTTTAACCAAGAAGGAAGCCTGGCTCAGAATGCAATGGTTAAGCCAAGGGGTAGCCCCTGTGTCTCCCCATCCTGTAGTGCTGCTAATGCTGTACCCTGACGCTGTCCCAGGCCTAACGGTCATGCCCCCTCCACACCCAGCAGAATACAGCTCTCCACCTGAGGCAGCAGTTAATGACGGATCCTTCCAGCATTACCTGTAGCTGACAGCCTCTGGCTTCTGCCTTCTTTCCTATTACGTGGGCTGACTATACTACCTTTAGGGCTTGGATCAGTGTTCTTTATTTTAATTTCAATTAGCTGCTAACATTTAAAAGTTGGTATATTTCACATTAAAATCTGGACATCTAGCTTTTCCTTAAAAAAAAAAAAAAAAAGGAAGATCTGGCAACCTGGACTCTCACACATACTAGTATTCCTTACCTGCCAAGCACCTATCCACCAGGTCTAGTCCCTGCTTTACGATATTCTCACTGGCGAAGAGGACAATGCTAAATGTCATCCCTCTCTGTAGGCCAAGCCTTCAGAATTAAACATAACACACTCCCCCCACACAACTATCCCTTCAGAAGTAAAGGATGACCGTCTGATGCAATCCTCCTCCCTACGAAAGCCCCTTTCCTCTCTTGTATTTTACACTTGAGCCCTCTTCAAGGTCACTCGTCTCCATTTCTTAAAGTGAGAACAATGAGGAATGTTCCACGAAGCCTATCCATTCCCTACAGAGCAGGGGCGATGGCCAAGGAAAGCATCTGGTGTTCAGATGTCCCTGGATCCTGCCGCAACGCTCCTGGAGAGAGGAGGGAGACAGCACCGCACTCCCCACAGGTCTCGCCTTCCTCGGCAGAAGCACCAGGGAAATCAGGGGAAAGGATATAAAAGCATCGGTCAGGCTGGGATGTTCAGGTAAAAGGAAACGGCCAGAGATTTTGTGTATTTTTCTGCCTTTACCACCTCTAAGAAAAGTGTTTAAGAATAATCAAAGTTGTACTGCGGCCGTCCCAAAGTTACCAATAGCGTGAAAAGAGGCCAGCAGATAACATGTATTTAAGTAAATATTCTACAACTGCTTTCCTGCCCAATTTGGCTTATGAAATAGTAAACAAGGAAGCAGAGGCCTTAGGTTTTGCTATTGGGCTACTCCTAATTAGGTCTTCCACTCGGAAAAAATCGCTGCCCCGTTCTGTATCTCCATTTCTCCAGTTACAAATAAAAGCGATACATCTCGTTAACAGGCGCCTCCAATGAATTTTGAAATGCCTATGCAGAAAACACGGTCTGAATTTGTTTTCAAGGATCGCAAATGTATAGACACATTCCCATCGTAATACTGAAAACACATCATTTCTGACACCACCAAATGCGTCTCCGAATACGAGGAGTCGGAACACGCACCGCTGCCAGGGCCCTCGCAATGATTAGACCAGCCGTGGGCAAACTACGGCCCGCGGGCCGGATCCCGCCCGTTTGAAATGAATAAAACTAAAAAAAAAAAAAGACCGTACCCTTTTATGTAATGATGTTTACTTTGAATTTATATTAGTTCACACAAACACTCCATCCATGCTTTTGTTCCGGCCCTCCGGTCCAGTTTAAGAACCCATTGTGGCCCTTGAGTCAAAAAGTTTGCCCACCCCTGGATTAGACCACCCCCGGGAACACACTTCCTGTATGCTACTTCCTGTGATGCCATCAAGGGAACGCTCAGTTCCCAGAGCAAAGGGTTAGTGCAGAGACAGAACACACCCCAGAAATGGGGATTCTGTCCAATTTGGGCTATAACTTGGTTTCAGATGATAGTGCATTCAAAACACCACAGGGCAAAAGAAATTACTAAAAAAAAAAAAAAATTAAGTCTTCATATTTCCATGAAAGAAACTACTTCCATCATTCTGCATGAACATATTAGGAGGCAAGATGATACTAATGGGAAAAAATGATATTTTATGGCTAAAGGACAACTTAGGACATACAAATTAGGAGGCATGTAGGTTGCAGGTAGAAAACCACTCTTTCCCAGCTCCAAATGGTCACAGAAACAGCCCAGAGTAATTCAAACAATAATAGCCCATATTTTTTTAGGAAAAAACCTGAAACTGGGACAGCAGTAAAGCCACAGCTCAGAGAAATGTTCACAGGGACAAGACCATGTGGAGAGGCGCTACTCGTCCTCGGAGAGACAAAGGCCCAAGAGGACTGAAGCTATGCTACTGACCATAACCCAGGGCAGCAGAAACAACGAATCCTTCCACACGAGCTGCTGGAGAGAGAAGAGTTGCAGAAGGAACCCAGGCGAACTTTTAAAGAGATGTAAACTGACTATCTATGAGAGGATAAGTAAGAGCCCCAGGACAGATGGTGCGTGTGTGCGCGCGCGCACACACACAAATAGTATGCATACAATTAAAACCCATAACCAAACTATATCTGACTCTAAAAAAAGAAAGAGAGAAATGCCATTTAACAATCAAATTATCCTAGTGAGTATAATCTGGGAAATACTTTACACTCCAGTGCAATGGTCCATCATTTAGCGACAGAAGAATTTTTTTAAACATACCTTTGCAAGAATGTGCTTGTCTTTTATAATGTACTCGTAAGTTGTCAAGAGGACGTTGAATTTGCCACTCCGTAGCTGGGGGACAAGGGAGCGACGCATGGCAGGGGTGCCCTGAATAGAAAGGGAGAAAAACACATATCTATTACCCAGTGGAAGCACATGTGTGCTATTTCTCACTATTCAGAGTTAATGGAGCCCAGGCCCGTGACTAACAATTGCACATATATGCATTATTATATACAGACACATTATCCACCAAGAAAGTGCTCGGTGAAATCGCCCAGGTCTGGACACTTTTCAGTCTCTTAGGGAGAGGCTTTCCCACTGAAAACGGCGGGGAAAGAGAGAAAAGGAAATTGCAGTGACCGCCAGGTAGTGGAGAACCCGCTGCTCTAATGAAAGGCTCCTTTTCTACGGGAGCCTGTAGCAGGCGGCCCGAGCACCCAGGTAATTGCTGAACTTTCTGCAGGCACAGTGAGCCCATCGGTGGCACGGGGAATGCGCGGTATTTGTCATTTGTATTACTCTCATCAGAAACCTCGCAATATGATAATTAACAATTTTCTTCTGCATTTCACTATCTGAAAGTAATTATGGTTTATTACAGTCATCTTCTTGGGATGATTAACTCTCACTGTTTAGTACATGATGTACATGACAAAACTTTACAACCAAATACAGTGCACAGATGTGCATATGGAGTAAAGAAAATGGGGTCTATTTTTTGCTTTTGCACATTTATATATAAACACGGCATTCCAAACCTTGTAAGAAATTTTCACCACAGAAGGAGCCCATTTGTCAAATTCATATGTCCAGTTAGACAGAGTCCTGTAGAACAAAAAATAAATAGAAGAAAGAAAAATAGACATTTGTATAAAAGTCGGTGGTTAAATAGATGTTCTTATTTATTTTCAGGCTTCACCTTGAATATCTTGACTACGTATTTTTTTAAAGGTGTGAAAATAAGAGATAAGTTAGAAATGAGCTGCCACAAAGCATGACAAGTATGTTGTGGGCACATAAAAATAAATCTCAGAAGAAAAAAAAATAAAGAATGCATAATTATAGAGGGCAAAAAAAAAAAAGGAAAAGAAAAAAAAAACACCCTAAATTTTAATACGGGATTGAAAAATAGCAACTGCCGAAGCGATTCGGTGAGTCTTTAGAAACAGCCACACACGTTCAGAGAAAAGTTGAGTCAGGAAAAAAGAAATGACAAAAGCGCGTGAACATATTAAATACATCTGTCAAGAGGAAGCAGGGGAAGAAATAGTGAATGGCCCCCGCCCCTGTTTTTAATCCCTGAAAGCGTGACCATAATATACAAGTCAGAACGTGTAAAATATAGATAAAAAGCAAAACACATATTCAAAATGTAGGTAAAATGCAAAGAATGTCTAAATACTATGGATTCAGATCATCCAGATTAAAGAGGTCTGCAAATAGTCCTCCTTTAAACAAATATGGGAGAAAATACTAAAAGCAGAATCTTTATTTTTTTCTCAAGGTCCAGGTTTGTATTCGCTCGGAGACCTAAGATCTCAGGGATGAAAAATGCAGCCAGACACCCACAGCCAGAGACACTCCCCTGGGGGCGGGGGTGGGGGGGAGTGTGATCAGGTCCTTCTCTCAGGAGTGTCCACTAAGACCTGCAAAGAGCCACTGGGGCGCGAGGCCTGGGAGTGAAATGGTGCACAGCAAAGACCTGTCCTAGTCACTGAAAATGAATTACACATACTGCGGGCAGGATAAGGTAACATTCTCAGTTACAAATTTGATTTAGATTCTGCTTTGAAGGATACAATAAAGAAAGAACAGAATACACAGTCTTTTGAATATATGTAAGCTTTTGGAAATGGAACCAGAAAAAAAATCAAAGAAATTTTTAAATAAAAAAAAACCAAAAAAAAACGAAACCTCTCTCCCCCATTGTTGAGCCGATGAAGGAATAAGGCGCACTGTACAGCGAGGAGGCCGGGAGTGGGGTTGGGGGTGGGAAATAAAAAACCTAAGTCCAGACGACATGCTCCCGGGCACCCCAGCACAGGCTACACTTCTGCTTTCGATGGCTGCAGCACACAGACAGACAACTGCAGAACAAAGGCCGGTACTCACGAAAGGGGCACGATGATGAGATAGGGGCCATTGAGTCTTTTGTGCTCCATCAGGTAAGTGATGAGTGCAATGGTCTGTATGGTCTTTCCCAGCCCCATTTCGTCAGCTAAGATTCCGTTCAAATTGTTATTATACAGGGAGACCATCCATTCCAGGCCCTGGAGCTGAAATGAAGAGTAATTGCTTCAATTACCCAAGATCTGCACAGGTAATTAATACTAATACAACTCAAGTGAGGCTGTGACTTCTTAACTCCACGGTGCTATATGCTGGATCTCCCACAGCAGGAAAGTGAGGGAAGCACCAGCACAAAAGGAATTTAAAACAGGAGCCCGTAATCGTCCCCCCTGCTTGGCAGGTGCCGAGTGCTAATCAGATTTAGAAACGAAGGGCTGGAGCAGACGGGTAGGGTTTTAAGCAGCTTTGCTGCTCATCCCTACTTAGCATTTCGCAGTGTAGGACATTCTAGAATTATTATAAATGAAGAAAACCCAAAGCAAAATCCACTCCAACTACTCCAGGAACAAAAAGCCAATGTGAGGATTAAAGACAGACAAACCAGAGGGCAGGTTTGGCTCAAAGGTCCCAGATCGTTAGAAAGAGCCTTCTTGGCTAAGGAGCCCTCCGCCCAGGGTGGGCTGCCCTTGGTGAGGAAGCCAGGTGACCGGGGAGCCAGGGGCGGCTGCTGGGCTGCAGGAGGGCGTTTCCGGAGGGGGGCGGGGGTCACATCTCCGGGGAAGCAGATGGAAACTTCACTATGTGGGCACTCCCCAAGGGCAGCCTAGGGAAGCTGACTGCCTACCAACAGGTTCCACATATTTGTAAAGCACAAAAGCTCTGCACCGAGATGCAGCTTTGCAGTCCGTCAAATATAAGAAAGGTCGGTGAAAATACAAAATTGTTAAACCTGCCTCTCCCAATAACAATTCCCTTTCCCTCTCATACTACCAATGCTGGATTTGTTTATTTTTTTAAATACAATTTTTATTGATTTCAGAGAGAGAGGGAGAGGGAGAGGGACAGAGAAACATCAATGATCCGAAAGATCATGGATTGGCTGCCTCCTGCAGGCCCCACACTGGGGATTGAGCCTGCAACCCGGGCAGGGCATGTACCCTGACCAGGAATAGAACTGTGACCTCCTGGTTCATAGGTTGATACTCAACCACTGAGCCACACTGGCCAGGCTGGATTAAAAAGGTAGGATCAAAGATAGATAGATAGATAGATAGATATCAGTATCTATATATATCGATATCTGTATTTATATTAGCTAAAGGCAATTTAGCTTGCTCATGCAGTCATGCTTAGGAAAATGTTAATTTTAGTATGTTTTATGTGAGAAAGAAGTAATTTATTTTAAAATGTATTAAATGATTATTCTGTGCAAGGAGCCATGCAAGGAGCTATGGCAGATGGACCCCGAGGGGTGTCAGATGTATGCCTCCCTTCAGAAGCTTTCAAAGAGGAGACAATAAGCCACTCGCCTATACACACGCACCAAGAAACGGCTGGAGTGCCAACGCCACCCATACACGACTGTATGGGCCAGGCTGTTTCCCAGGGAGAGCACTGCACTGGCCTGAACACTTTCAAAGGCCACCGGGAGTCTCTGTGCCACGCAAGACTCCACGCCATCCCAAGGGGTTTCGAAGGACAGCAACGCCAATAAATAGAAGGGAAATGGAAAGAGCCTTTGGGCACATGGGCAAAAGATAGGGGACGTGAGGAAAGGACTGGGAAGCACAGCTGGTGGCTCAGAGGACCTGGTTGCCTGCAACATGACGCCAAGGCCTCCAGACTCTTAGGAAAGCCAACGGAAGGCCAGGAACATTTGGACACTGGGAGGTGGTGGATTCTTTTTTTAAATGAAAATAGGCAAAGGGGCTGAATTTTGCATCTGTGTTAATCCCAGATAAAACAGAAGCAGAAACTGGCAGCAGAAGGGACTAGAGATTCACTAAAATTGTGGGGAATGAACTGTACTTTGTTGGACGGTGAAACTGGAGGGGCTGGGGATTAACCACAGCTTCCAGGAAGCAGCGGGAAGGCCTCCATGATGTGAGGGTTACATAACCATTCATGATGCAAAAATGTGTCCAGGAGCAAGAAGAGAGAAAGCTCACTTGGGGACAGAGTGGTTCTGGAAGGCTCGGAGCTACAACATGAACTGGTCTGAGAGAAAGGGAAAGGATCATCAGGCAGAAGTAACTCCAAGAGACAAGAACCCAGGGGGCAGGGCAAGGCATCCGGGACCTCCAGCCGCCCAGTGCAGGAGAAGGGCACACCATTGGCATATGGAAGCGGGGGAGTGGGTGTGAAGGACAGTGATGGACGAGTGCTGAGAAAGGTACCGGATGGCAGCAGAAATCCATGGGCCATTGAGTTACTCATGAATAATCCAAAGAACACATCTCCCAGACACAGACATGTACCAGTTTACCAGAACATACTATGAATTAATATCTACGTCGGGCAGACCAAGTAAGGTGATATGCACTTGGAACCTCATGAAAGTAGTGCGGTCTCTTTGGGGAAAACGTGACTCACTACAGACGGAGCAGTGCTTGTCAAAGTGTGTTCCCGGGGCTCCTGGTGCCCCCAACCTTCCCAGGAGAGCCACAGGCCCAGCGATTTCACAGTAACTTCAGGGCATTGTTCACCTTTTATGTTGTGATACAAAAGCAACAGTGGGTGAGAACTCCCAAGGCAGCACTGTGGCAGCCGCTGTAGCTTTACCCCGGCCACGGCGGCAGATGCAGGGCCGCGTTTAAGTGTGTAGAGGACCCGAGTCCAAAAGGTTTGAGAACTGTTGGCCTAAAGCACGTGGTTTCTAATAGGTGATATATGGAAATAAGGCTGGGGAGTCAAAGAAATCGGAGAACTAGAAAGTTAGTTATTTTATTGCATAATACTGATGTGCCATTATGGATTATACATTGATATTTGTAGAGTCATGGATGTGCTGACGTACAGCATGGATTATTAGGAGGGGTCCTGTCAGGGTGCCCAGGTGGCTGGATGGCTCAGGACGGTCCTGGGTTATGCCTATTATCAATAATAAGGACCCCTATTGTCACTCTCATTAGTACCCAAGTTTGAAACAGTAAATTATATGGTAATCCTCGCTACAGCTGGTGGTATCTCCCATATTTATTTGACCATGGGACCTATTTTTCTTTTTCTTTCTGAGGTACATCTCATGGGACGAATGTCCCAAGGAACACACTTTGGGAAACACTATAAAGTGGGAGGAGAGAGAAGACAGCAGCTGACCTCATTCCACACAGGTCACATGAAATGTGTTATATTTACAGCCTAGTTTCCACCAAAGCACGGATGCTCACCACTGTATTTAGACTTAAAAAGATAAAAGTGTAAATGGAGTAGACAGCGACTGCTGGGTGGCTGGACTATGGCCACCAGTGCAATTTCCAAAGAAACACTTCGTTTGCTCCCCAGTTAGGTACATGTTCCCGACACTCGTCAAATGTGGCTGGGCTTTCCATCCTGTCGCCATCCATGATGAAACGGTTCCAGGTGGCAAGCCAGGATTTCTTATAACACAATTCATCCCAAAACCCCAGAAGGGAAAGCAGAGATGCCCGGGAAGAGATGGTAACATGGAAGTGCTCTCAGAGCAGGATGACAGGCAGAATGGAGAGAATGTCAGTCCCGTAAGCAGGGGGACCTAGAATGCCTTCTCCTCATCAACCCTCTTAAGCAATCGACACACGCACAGACACACTCCAGTGCAAAAGAGGTAGAAGCTGGTGGCCCGCCAAGGAGACACAGACCCAGCGGTTACCTGGTAGTGCTTCAGGGTCCCGTTGATGAGGAGGGCAGACTGCTTCTCCACCCTCTCGGAGATGGCGTGGGCCACTGTGTAGTAGGACTGGGAGCCCCTGGCACTGCACTGCATGCTGTACTCGTCATCCACGTCTTGCTTGGCTGTCCTGGGACGGAGAAAGTGGAGGATCACGCACACACATCTGGGTGCGTGTGTTTTATTTCGATCCATTCAGAAAGATGAATGGAAAGCCTAAAATAGCTGCAGTGAGCGTGGTTTATTTATCACCTACTATTTAATCGCCTGGCAATTAAAATACATTATCTGTAATTCTCACAAAACAGAGCAAGGCAGACTTATTAGTTTTATGCATGTGGAGAACTTCAGGCTCCGAGAGGTGAGTGAATTTGCCTGTCACATAAAATTAGTGGAGTCAGGATCCGAATGCAGGCCGGCGTGACCTCCAATGACCAATAGGAACGTGAGCCACACCTGCAGATGAACACTGCCTGTAAAGCTGTCTTAGGCTCTTGGGACGTAAGGATAAATCCTACGCCCAGAGCACAGTCCGCAGCTTTCGTTGCTACTTCATAACTGTAATTTTGCTACTGTTATGAATTGTAATGTAAATATCTGATATGCAGGATGTATTTAGGCGACCCCTGTGAAAGGGTCGTTCGACCGCCAAAGGGGTTGCGACCCACAGGTTGAGAACCGCTGCCTTAGGCTCTTGGGAAGTAAGGATAAATCCTATGCCCAGAACACAGTCCGCGGCTTGGAGGGCAGGTGAGAGAAGGCCGAAGTCAACATAAGAGACAGGAAAGAGGAAGGTCGTCATAAATCCTATGCCCAGAACACAGTCCGCGGCTTGGAGGGCAGGTGAGAGAAGGCCGAAGTCAACATAAGAGACAGGAAAGAGGAAGGTCGTCTTCCATGTTCTATGCCAGGTTGGGGAGCTCGTATTTTATTCTACAGGCAATGAGGGGGGCAGACTGATAAAACAGGTTCCTCAGAGAAGCACTGATCAGACCATCAAAGCTCAGAGGGAAGGTAGTGGAGGGCGGAGGTAGGGGGAGAGATCAACCAAAGGACTTGTATGTATGTGTATAAGCCTAACCAATGGACACGGACACCAGGGGGATGAGGGCATGAGTGGGGGAGCGGGAGGGGGGAGACAATGGGGGGATAAGGACACATATGTAATACCTTAATCAATAAAGAAAAAAATAAACTGAAAAAAAGAGAAAAATAAATAAACAAAGTGGGGCCTACAGCCCTGCAATAAAAGGAGGAAAGATGAAAATGTTCATTTTTTTTCCTTTTAAATGTCACCACTTTATAATGTTCTATTTTGCCGACTGTTTCATTATAACTTCCTTTAAATATTAGAGCCACACACACAAAGAGCTGTGTAGACCAAGGACGTGGGGGACGACCAGGGTGCGGCAGGAGCTGGGCACGCAGAGGGGGAAGGAGGAGAGAGGGGCGTTTCCTGGCGGGACCTGGTGGCCGGCTGGCTTGGCAACAAGGACAGAGGGGATGCTGTCTCTCACTTGGGTTCTGGGTGAGCGCTGACGCCACTGAGGGAGGGAGGAAGGGCGGTGAAGCAGCCAGTGGAGGGGCCAGTGTGATCAGTTCAGTCTGGGGCAGAGTGCAGGTGACAGTGCGGAGCCCAGGAGTGAGCCGGAGCTGGGAGCGGGGATTCAGGAGGGAGAAGAGGTCAGAGGGGGCAGAGGAGCAGCCAGGAGCCCTGGAGCCCAGAGGTGACTTCTCACAGTGATTCAAGTGGAGTGTGGGCACGACGTCAGCCTCTTGCCTCCAAATTTTCCAAAAGAAAACTCCTAAAGCCTAACTTAGGTCATGAAATGCTCTGCAAGGAAGGAAACTCTTGAGAGATACTCACTCAATGATCTGCTTCGCATCCTTCTCGGAAACTTCTTCACTGTTTGGATCCAGAATTATTTTCTCTTCGTTTTCCTGCCGACTGGACTCTTCTTCCTCATCCTGGGAAGAAACAAAGATTCCATTCTGTCAAGCGAATCTCTATGATTGGCATTTTCCAAAAAGAGACTAAAGCAGGGGTGGGCAAACTTTTTGACTCGAGGGCCACAATGGGTTCTTAAACTGGACCGGAGGGCCGGAACAAAAGCATGGATGGAGTGTTCGTGTGAACTAATATAAATTCAAAGTAAACATCATACATAAAAGGGAACGGTCTTTTTTTTTTTTTTAGTTTTATTCATTTCAAATGGGCCGGATCCAGCCCGCGGGCCGTAGTTTGCCCACGGCTGGACTAAAGAGTGTCCAACTTCACAAATGAAGTAAATAAAATGAAGGAGGAAGTAGATCTAACACCTCCCTATACCGGGCAATACAAACCATTCCACTGCTGTTTAAATCACTCAATGGGAGAACGAAGGTGACCCTCAGAGGAGCCCCTGGCACCTTTGCTCCTAAGGACAAAACTGTAACAGTCATGCCAGAGAGAGGGACATCACCGCTTGGTTGTCTAAGAGTCCTGTAACCACATGCCTCTCACCAGCGTAGCCACACTCTACATCCGTCTCTCCGCGGCCGGGCTCTAGACATGTTCGCCTTGTCCTACTCCTAAGAATGTCCTCTCAGATAGGCCAGTGGGTTTTGATGGCCCCGGGCGTTTGCAGTCCGGGCTGGGGCCTGTAGTCACGTGGCTTTGTGGTACTTCACACCTTGCATTTCTGAATGTTTTGGTGAAAACTGTCCGTAACTCGCCACAGGACTCATCATCTCCCCACCCCGTCATTGTGCACTGCGTTCCGCTGTGCTGTCTGAAAGCTTCACTAAATACTCACTGTGCCCACCACTAACCACTGGTGTGGAAGACTAACTCTTTCCAGATAATCCAATAGAATTTCCTTTAAAAGTGGATTTAAAGAGAACGATGCTTTTTCATAATTCTTGAGTGAAAAAATACAAAGTGACACAATATTAGTTCTGAAAATCAGACCTATGATGACGGATCATTGAGAGCAGGGGCTAAACTGAGGAATCAGCACCGCTCCTCATTTTCCAGGCGAGAAGCGAAGTGGTGCGAGGGGACTTGCCACGAGTGGGTGGCAGACCCCAGATGGCAAGTTCACTCTATTCCTGGCTATCGGGGCTGCCAGCATCTGTCAGTCTTGGCTGGCATGCGTGGGCTAAAGAGTCCACTTTATCTCGTCTCTGTCCCTCCCTGGCTCTGAATGAGAAGACTCTTCCAACAGATTATTTATGGGCCCATGTATCCAAGTCAACAAGAAACATGTTTAAAACTGGTTTTATAAGCTTCAAATATACCAGAGAAAGAATAGCCTACAAGAAAAAAAATAGCATGGCTCTAACAACACTTGCTTTTTAATAGCATGCTTTTGTAAAAATATAACTTTTATTTTTCCTCTTTGCAAAGTGTCCACAGTAGATTAATTTAGAAAACCTAGGTCCACACAATAGAAGGAAATAACGATTGTCTTAAAACCCCAGTGAGCTATTCGGGAAGGCAGCTTTGCCCTGTCTGTGGCATCTGTGCCGTGGCCACTCTGAACCAGGATTCCTCGACAAGGGCAAAAATCACATTCAGTGACCACACACTAACAACAGAGATGAAGGAGATGGAAATATTTTAAAAATCTATTTGTAATTATTAAGCATTTCATAATCGATCTGAAAATTCCTTTATTATTTTATAATTCTATGAAAAGCATACAAGATTACTATTTTAGGTTCTAGATATATTGAGTATTCCTTCCAAGAGACTGAAAAATGTGCTTCTCTTTTTGGTAACAAGTATACCCAAGGATTTCAAACAAGAACCACATTTAAAGGGAAATCAAGAGGATCAATACAGTCATTAAACCAACCCCGAGTTGCCCTTTTAGTCTAAGTTCCTGGACTTTCCATTTCAAATAGATGCTAAGGAGCAAAGAATTTCAGAAATTTTTAGGCAGCGAACCCTTAGAGTGAGCCACTTGGAGGCATGGGAGTGACTTTCCCAAAGTGATCCATCTTCCGTTCTCCCCTAAAGACGGTTCTACCCCTTCTGATTTAATGACGGCTTCTCTCTCCTGGTTCCGAAAGAATTTAGAATTCACCAAGTCTCCCCATTGGTCAGGAGCCCCCAAGAGGTCACGGCACGGCGAGGCGTGCCCCACCAAAGCTGTGGCAAGCCCTCAGCCCCAGTCATTACCCGAAGGCCAATGCTGAAAGCAGAGTACAGAAGGACACAGGTGCTTCCCTCATAGACTTTCAAACCAGTGAACTCAGATGCACATACGTACCTCCTCCTCATAATCAGAATCACTTTCTTCGCTGTCGGACCTGGGGGCGACTTCGTAACTACAGGGAAAGGGGTGGGAAGGAGATAGGGCTTAGTTCTTTGGATTATAAGACAATGTATACACGCATGACTCAACCAGCATGTTCAGTGTGCGAGTGACAAGCGCAGGTACCAACTTCAACCACTTCAGCAAAGGCCGTGTTGCTTTAGGTCCAAGGTTTTACAAGGAGCACAAACATTGACAAGGCCAAAGAACACCAACAATTCTGCTGTAACGCTCACCCAGGATTCATTTCCAACCAGGCGTCCAGCTGACTTGCTTTGGGTGCTTCCGGTCCAAACAGGACCTTGCCGGTTTCTGTGTGAGTTACTTTGACAGGAAGGTCACTCATCTGACTGCTCTCATCTATCGGCTGGAAAGGAGAGAAAATAACAAAAACACATCACCCCTTGGTGCTCTCCCAGTTCTGTGCGGGGCATCTCTCGGCCTTCTGGCTGCCGGCATCTGAAACCCGTTTTTGTGATTGGAAATGTCACCAGCACAAGACCTCAGCTCCCCCAAATGGATGCACTCACCGTGGCTCTGAATTGGGAGCTAGAAGTTCAAGGCAGTTCAAGGCCCAACAGGCACACTGGTGGGAGGGCAGACCCCAGCGGCGGCAGAACCAGGACGGTGGTCCTGGCTGAGCCAAGCTCCTGTCTGCTCCCGCATCAGCCACGTCCTCACTGACCATTGTATGTATAATACCAGGTGTAGCTTCAAGTCCGGCTCTCCAGGCTTCCTGGAGGTCTGATGAATTATCCAACATCCTGTTAATACATCCCCTTGCTACTCCCATCAGGCAGAGCTGATTTTTGTCATTTGCAACGAAGAACCTCAGCCTCCAAATAATGACACCCCTCCTCAGATAACGACTAGGGCAAACTTATGGTTTCAGAGAGAATGGGAAAAGAAAAAAGTGTGTAACTTGTATCATCTCATTACTGGCTGGTATGGCTTAGCAGAACCAGTGTCCCTGACCCAAAACCAAACCACCAGGTACCAAACCAACCATTGATAGCTGGGCGTGTGATAAAGCCAAAAGCTCCGAGCATCTGAAATCTGCAGAATAGACTGAGCAGAAGTTCATTATCAGACTCTCCATGAAAAATGGCTTGCTCCAAAAATTAAGCGAATCAATGTTATTGCAGAGGCTGCGTTGAACCTACTTCAGAGAATACACTGTTTCATGAGGCCTAAGGGTGGAGTAATCCTCCCCAAGTGACTGCTACGGGTTGGAGGGGATTGTGCTTCCGGGACAGGTCCCAGGCAAGATGTCTGTTTGGAAACGCTTGGCCTGCGAGTCTTTCAAGTTATCTATCTCCGTAAAAGTTACAAAATCCAATGCTTAGACTATTCATTAATTCCAAACATTTTCTTCTACATTATTCTTATTTGGAGTTAAATAAAAATGACAGGAAAAATAGTGTACTCTAGGTTACTGTCTAAATCTAATAGGAAACGAACCTCCCCTCTTTCCCTCAAAGTGCTGTCAGAATAAGACATAACAGATCAGCAATTATCCACAAAAATAACCTTTGAAAAGAGAAAAGGCTCACCCTAGACTATCATTGTTTTTCTTCCTGTATGTGTGCTAAGGCCGCATGGTGGTGAACACCATTACTTTATATGCCAAGATGACACTTCTTCCTCATTAATGTAAAAGGTCACCTGCATGCTCACACGATAGAGAAGGAAATCTACCATTTACTATCATCTCCCATGGAAGAATCATACTCTGTGATCTTGAACTATTATAACACAACTTATCCCTCTGCTTCAGATGTCATGCCTCAGAGAACACGGGGGGGGGGGGGGGTCCCCGCAGCTGGAATGACGACTTCGGCAGAAGCACTGAATGAGTGGCACATCAGTGGAATAGGAAACTTATTTCAAAACAACCCGAGCGAGAGGTCCGCTTCGCCCACTGCAGCACACAGAGCACGCATGTGCTGAGATTTAAAGAAAAAAAAGGTGTATGTCACAGGCCCTAGATCCGTAGGTAATTTTCCCAAGAGGTGATAAGAGATAAAGTGCTCTCATAGTAACATGTTAATCTCTCCCCGGTGCTTGTTAATCACAGACTGATGTGAGGCTAGCTTAGGTCAGGCTGGGCTTTTACAAATTAGAGTGTTTCCAAGTGCTCTTATAGTATTCTTCCCCCTTAACAGCCCACGGAGAATTTCTCACACATCAGACATTTATCCCGTCCCTTCTTTCTTAGGGATGGATTACAGCGGTTAAGCAACATTTACTGTTCAAAGGGTTTCTGCATAGACTGGTGGTTCCAACCTTTCTTCTGCATCCAGGCTGTTCACATTCACAATACATCTCACGTGCAGTGATTCTAGAACAGGAAGAGGCAACCCTCCACCCACCCCAAACCTCCGAGCAGGTTTATCCGAATCTGCGAGAGGAGGAGGCGGAGGCTTGAAGCACGCTCCCTCCACATCCTGCTCCGGGAGTATGCCTCCTCGTGTGAATCACTGGCAGGGAACTTGGAGTTTTCAGAGGGAAAAAAAAAATCCAATAAATGAATAACTGTATTCTCATGATCCAGGAGACTATTGGAAATACTAGAAAAAATTTAGGAATATGCTGATGAACTGACAAATAGAAGCTACATTGTAAGCCTACAGAAGATGTCAAAAAAATAAGTTAACAAGCCCAGCCGGCGTGGCTCAGTGGTTGAGCATTGACCTATGAACCAGGAGGTCACGGTTCGATTCTCAGTCAGGGCACATGCCCGGGTTGCAGGCTCGATCCCCAGTGTGGGGCCTGCAGGAGGCAGCCAATCAATGATTCTCTTTAATCATTGATGTTTCTCTCTCTCTGTCCCTCTCTGAAATCAATAAAAATATACTTTTTAAAGAATAAGTTAACCAAACATGTTAATTGGTTGGCTTATGGAGTATTATAATTTCAAATTAGTAATAAACTAAGGAAGCTGGGTCACAGTTTATGCTTCTGTATCATTTACTGGGCAAATGTAATTATAGAATCACTTAAGATTTTACACATTCTATGTATTCCAAAACGTATGCTTATACTGGGCAAATGTAATTATAGAATCACTTAAGATTTTACACATTCTATGTATTCCAAAACGTATGCTTATATGTGCACAGAAAATTGTAACCCTTTTATACTATGCTAATGGACTACACTTCTTTACTTAAAGATGAATGGCTGAGTAAAAATAAAATTAGTATACACAGACAATGACATGTGTGGTAAGGCATGGCAGGGACTCACTGAGCAGAACACAGTAGAAATGGACGCAAAATCCTTACCTCTCCATCTGGTCCCAGGGCAGACTCTCCTCCCTCTGCGTTCTCTTCGGCCTTCTGTGAAACGACAATGTGTCACATGTCATGGGGCAGCCAAGAGGACGGGGACAGGAAGGGCTTCGCGGTAACTCTGGGGTACGTCACAGCGCTGCATTACTACCTACCCTCACCGAACGAAGCTCAATATTCATGCCTTTTATTTTTAATTTATTTATTTTTAATTTATCTTTATTGCCGAAAGTATGATAGATGTCCCCTTTGTGGTGTGTGTGTGTGTGTGTGTGTATTTTCCCATTGATCCCCTTTTATTTTTACTTGTTTTCATCGTCTAAGACAAAGTGTGTATTTTATTAGCAACTTGCAGAGCGTTCTTGAAAGCCAGGTGTGATTCAAGGCCAGCACACTAGAGATTTGTGGGTTGTGTCTTCTAGGATCCAAAGAGCTTAAGGCATTGGCAGTACTGAGACTGAGAGCGAGAGCGAGAGCGAGAAAGGGAGAGAGGCCAGAGGCTGCAGTGTTCTCAAGTCTGGCGCTGGGAAGACACATCCTGATGCAGTCAGCAAAACTTTCCTATTCTTTTAGCGGATTTTCTGAAAATGTCCATTGAGAATAAACTCTGAACTACTCTTGAGTCATAAAAATACAAAATGATATAATATTCTGTGAGTTCTCCAAATGTTTTTCATTCTACCTAATGGGCTTTCATAATAGAAAGTATTTACACAGTGGGCATATGGGGAAATTCGAAGCAGATACTGTGATCTCATGAAAAATTCTCCAATCTCTTAGTCCATTAACCTCTGAGAGCCTCAGAGACAGCCTACATGGAAAGCTAGGATTATGCCACATTTTGTACATACCCAAGAGAGTCTTATCTGTAATATACACAAACTAGTCTAAAATGTCTTCCATATGTAAGGACTTCTTTAACAAGTGAAATCTTTCACATCACCTTTACAGAATACTTATTTTAAAGTTATTGCTGGAAAGCTATACTACTTCAGGGCAGTATAATGAGAAGAAAAAAAAACTTCAGTTATTTGCTTTATCAAGACATTTAAGAAAATAAGCTTTCCTCCCCGGACCCTTTAGTTAATTAAAAATATATATAATGATACAGAATCAATATTAACTCCACTTTGTTTACTTAAGGCATTGATTATATAATACATATTTGCTTTCCATGTAAATAACAATCGTCTCTTGACAAAACAGCTTTTATAGAAAATGTTTAATGTCTAAAATTCAGCCTTTTGGCCATACTGAAGAAATGCAGTTTCCATAAATGTTTGAAAATTCTGAAGTTCTCTTATAACTTTCTTGGGTGTAGGTGCGTATGCTAAAGCACAAGGCACCAAAGACAGAAAAAAAACACTCCCTCTGGTTATGATTTCCCAAGAATTTAAGTTTCTATTCACACTACCCCAAAGTGAAAATGTTTACAAGCTCAAAAGAAATGATCAGTATCGAAAAGCACCAGGCCCTGTGTCTAGGCTGGAAGTATAGAGGGAACAATAGCAGAAAAGAAACCATCTCTACCACCAACCCCTGGAGCTTTCACTTCTGGAGTTCTCGGGCACAATCTTCAGGCAACTGTTTTAATTAGTGGGAGAAAGTCAATTAATCCCACCATTCTTTCCATACAAATCAGAAATGAGCTACCAATTTGGCCAACAAAGGAAATCAAATGAGACAATGAATAAGCCAATTTCCAATAGCTAGCTAGTGGAACTGGATCACCATTTCAATGAATAGCACCTTAAAAAGCTTGAAGGACCATCAATAATAAAATCAAAGCTACTCTGAAGGATACTTTTCTATGAATATGCTGGAGACCACTAAGCGTGTTATCTCAAAACTGCTTCATAATCAGGCCCTTCCATTACTTAAATCCTCTAAACTGACTTAAAAAATAATTCCACTAGGTATCAAATTTGAGAAGCACAATGTAATATTACATGCAAGAAACTTGGTTCTGGAATTAGACGACCTGCATTTGAATCCCAGCTGTGTCACTCAGTGCAAGAGACCTTCACTGTATGACCTTGAGCAAATCGTGCGTGTCTTGGTCCCATTCCCCCGCTTTTAAAAAAAATTATGGGCAGTAACAGTCCCTGTTACCACATAGGGCTACTGCAGGACTGGATCACTATTTCAATACATACAATTCAATGTCACATATAATACACACTGTGAGCATTAACCTCTACAATGTAAAAGAAACAACAGTAGTCAGAGGGCTGTTTTCATATGTCTACCTAAGACTGCTACAGCACTGTCTGAAAACAGCTTCAGAAGATTAGAGGATTAGGGATTTCTGTCTGTTCTGTTCACTTATGTATGCCCACACCTACCAGAGTACCTGCATTTAAAGGGCACTAAATAAATATTTGGTGAATGAATGAATGAATGCAAGCAACAAGAACAATGTATATGATCAGTGAACTATTATTATTATTGTAACTAGGTGCCAAAATATTTGCAAGTGGAAAGGTTAAGAACACATACACAATTCCTCATTGCACTGGCGCTCTGTGAGGCTTCTCTTGCATGCCCTGTACAGTATTTACACCACTTCGGCTATGTTGTTATATGCGTGGAAGCCAGGTGGCAGCCTACTCTATGGCAAGAGATGCCAAGTTCTCCCATCATGCTTTGTATTCTTGCAGTTTGAAGGTTTCTGGTTGGTGTGCTTTCATAAATCCATGTTCTCATATCAAACTGGTATTTTATTCCCTCCACCCCTCAAGAAAAAAAACCCAAAAAAACCCCACTTCCCTTTTTTGGGTTCAAGATGAACTCCAAACAGACTAAGCACCTGGTGAAATGGCTGCTAGTGCCTGAGGGATTTTCACATAGAGTAATCTGGGTCACGTGACTGCAAACACATTCTATCAGTATCACTGACCTGAGCTACTTCCACCGATTAAAAACAAAACATTGGCGTTCACCCATTAATTAGGACTAAAGGAACTTTGTACTACCTTCTTCCTACCTGCAAAAAATTTGGAACTAATTATGCTCATGGAGGTAGAAAGGAATGTAATTAACCTAGTCCTGGGAGGGGATATAAAACAAATTACTCTTAACTAAAAGACAATTCGGGTTCCTAATTCCAAAGGCCAATGTCAATTCATTCCTTCCATCTAGAAATGTTCAAGAACAAAGCTGTGTGCAAGGCTACCCATCTTCCTTGCAGAAGCTACATAAAATAATCAGTGATGGGCCCAAGGAGGGAAAGAAATCCCTCCTTTAAACATGAAAATCCTGTTTAAGTTGAACTTAAGAAAATAGACTGCAATGGGGCACTTTATTTTGATTACCACAACACAGGCCACAAACAGCCTCGTTTTGTAAACAAACAGTTTTACACCAAGTAATTTACAATCTGTATCATAAAGTGAATTTCTTTTAGCCCCAGAAGGTGTTGTTATATTATGCTGAAACAACATTCAAATGTGCTGGCCTCTTAAAGTCTCGTTCTGTTTCAATGGAAATCTAAGCTTTCAGAAATTCACGGGGTTATTTTTATTGTCACTTAAGTGGACCACTGAGCATTCAGATAGGGGATCAGGCAATAATAAAATACCCAAGAATATCAAATTAGCAGGCAATTGCACATTGCAGAGAAAACCAATTCTAACATTTTGACTGAAATAACTGGTTGATCCAGTTAAGCAGGACTTGGATCCAAACTTCTGCTTTCACCCATTCGGACACTGAACTAATCAAATCTAATCACCATGGCATTGTGTTCACCTATCTTTACACAGTCGCTGCACTCAAGTGCCCAGAATTACCTAAGATCCTCTCAAATACCTATGAAAATGTCCTTGTAGAGAAAAGCTGCAATAAACTATGTCATCTTTGGGGGGAAAATGAAAGACATAAAAGAACTGAGAAGAACTGCAGAGTAACCTGAATTTAAAACAAATGTTGCAACAACATTACTATTTTGGATTTGATGCTCTTTCTACCAAACATTACACCAAGAGGCTTTTCTGGTTTTGGGACATCTAAAAAAAGAAAAAAATGCATTTCCTATCACTATATTGATCAATATATTATGCTGGAGCCTGGCTGGTATGGCTCAGTGGTTGAGCATCTACCTATGAACCAAGAGGTCCCGGTTCAATTACTGGTCAGGGCACCTGCCAGGGTTTCAGGCTCGACCCCCAGTGGGGGCCATGCAAGAGGCAGCTGATCAATGATTCTCTCTCACCATTGATGTTTCTATCTCTCGCTCTCCCTCTCCCTTCCTCTCTGAAATTGATTACATAAAATATATAGCTGGAAAGGTTCCCCCTCCAAAACATACCAGTCCTGATTTTACTTATAATTGTGGTTGATGAAAGAGAGAGAGAGAAAAAAGAAGTTTCAGAAAGAAAGGGAAACACCACACACAACAAGAAAGATCTGGCCCAGAGTTCTGTCCCCCATGGATTCTCTGAGGTGTTCCTGTTAGTGTTGTGGGCTTCAAGAAATGTCACAAATAAGTAACAAGGACATAGTTCTGCTAGTATACACCCCATTGAAAGATTTTCAAAAAATATTTTTATTGATTTCAGAGAGGAAGGGAATGGGAGAGAGATAGAAACATCAGTGATGAGAGAGAATCATTGATCGGCTGCCTTCTGCACGCTCACCCAGAATCAAGCCCGCAACCCGGGCATGTGCCCTGACCGGGAATCGAATTGCGACCTCCTGGTTCACAGGTTGACACTCAACCACTGAGCCACGCCTGCAGGGCCCGTGAAAGATTTGAAAGACTGAATTAAATATTTATTTCCAGCCTGAAGTCCACAGCTCGGGAAGCTGAACTCTAAAGAATGCCTAGACTTTTAAGCAGGAGGTTCTGGTCACAGGTGGCATGGGCTCCTAACCACAGCTTAAGGAAAAATACATCCTAAAACTTTGCAAGAAATGCCTTATTGTCACCAAAAACCACTCTAAATCAGAGGCCACATAATTACAAATTCTCTTTGCAGGAGCTGGGGAGGGATAAGCAGGATCCACCCACATTAATAAATCCCCTTTCTCACTGTAGGCCTCACTAGTGTAAGAACCTGTCATTATCCTAAAGGGCAATATTTGATTGATCCTCGACCAGAAAAAAAAATGGTGGCTATTTACTCAACATCACAGAGAATATACAGTAAAGGGGGAAAAGATTTTCTTTTCAAAACCCTACAATCACATTTCAATAACCATGATCCTACATTTACACCACAAAAATGGCTTGATAAAATAACTAACATTTACTGAGTACTTACAACATGCCAGGAAACATAGAAAATGCTTTAGAGAAACTTTCCCATTCAATCCTAACCAATCAATCACCTTCTGATAGATCGAGAGACTGAAGTACTAGATAACAGATCTTTTAATGAAATACCCAGTAAGGAATAAGAACAAATTAGTCTGATATGTTTTCTTATGCAGTTATGGATTTAAAAGATTGTGTGCTAACATGATTTGGAGAGCGGTCCAATTTTCTAAATTAGCCTGTTCAATCCTATGTTTATATAAACTCCTGTGGCTTCATCTAGCCCCTCCCCCTTTTATCCTGTCGTCAGTCACTCAGTAGATGTTAGAGAACAGGCATGGCAAAGGTCAGAGGCCTCAAAGTCCTGCTAAGTGCACGTAACAGTGCCTTCATCCTGCCTCCCTGCAGAGGTATTTCAATGCTTTAACAATTATTCCTCCTCTACCTCGTAAGCAGATATGTACAGTTTACTTGTTTTCCTTCCATTTCAAGGGTATTAATGGAAGACCAGGTTGAGAAGGAGAAGTTTCAGAATGATTTATAAATACGTACTTCATAGAAATGGCTCTAACAGTGAGAAGAGGAAATTAAACAAGGTCATGGCAGGTTAAAGGAACCCTACTCTATTATTCACTAACAAGTAAACACAATATACTCCTAATGGGGAAAAACAAAGGTCTTTTCTGTTACACGGGGGCTATTTTAAAAAATTATACACTGAGTTTAACACAAAGCAAAAAGTAACCCTTTTGCAATTACATTACAAGGTCAATCATACTCAACTTTAATAGCACAGCTCTTGGAGTTACCTGCATCTTAGAGGTCTTACAAATGCTGCTACCAGCTCGATGCTATTAGTTCACTGGGTTAGAAAGGGTTTTCTCAAATCAAAGATTTATTGATGCCTTTCCTAATTAAAAAAATGCAGTAAGGTTCAGCATGTCAGTCCTATGGGAAAATGCCGAAAGGGACAGCACAGAATTTTTAAGCTTCCAAATGCAGTTTCCTTCCAGCCAGAGAAACTGCAACAAGTAACTCTCAATCCTTCACTCTGGTGGAGGAAAGAACCACAGATCATACCAAGTGTCCAACTATCAGCTTCTGAAAGCACCCACTTTCTCTGCACTAGTAGAGGTGCATCTGGAATTGGGTAACTCACTCTGAACTCAGTCTCAAAGCCCCATGAAGGACACAGCTTTATCCCATTTCTGCCAGCAAGATGGCCCAGGAAAGTGATCCTTAGTCCTGCTGAGAGCAGAGAGGGCCCAAATGCAAGGCACCCTGATAGCACAGCAGGGAAGAGGTAAGGGCTGTTCATCAAGGGATAAGTCTGCATCTTCAACCATGTGAGATCATCAGTGGGAGGTGCCCGAGATAGCACAAGGCAGACTGCAGTGCTTGGCTATTCTTATTCATTTGCCAGGAAATCAGGAAATTATTGACTGGCATTATTCCTTCACCTCATTCACCTCAGATTATAATTATATATTTAGATGCATATTTGGTTAATGTCTGTCTGTTTGTCTGTCTCTTTCTCTCTCTCTGATTAAATTGAGAGGGCAAGAGTGCTATCTTCACCATTACTTTCTCCCTCTCCCAGCATCCAACACACTGCATCTCCACCATAGTAAGTGTTCAGGTGGCAGTCATTGAGCAAATGCAGGAAATAGAATAAGTGCTACTAGCAAACTGGAAGGCAAGAGTTTGGAGGTAGAGAGCCAACCTAGAGATCATCAGAGTTGTGAAATGAAAAATATGACAGGTTCGTGCTCTGTACAGATTAACACAAAAATAAAACCATAATCATTATCACTCAACTATGTATCTTTCTACGATGATATAATGATCTACCACCATGGCAGGAATCTATTAATTTTAAGCCAGAATCGGGCCATTAGCTTTTAATCACAAAGAAATGTAGAATACAAACGTTAATATTAAAAACGCTAACAGTGACCTTTCTGTGACAATCTCTGCAAAATCCATGACTAAATTCAGAAAAACTACAGCTGCCATTTCATGGGGTCCACTTATGGAACCCTATACAATAAAAGGCTAATAAAGGCTAATATGCAAATAGATCAAATGGTGGAACAACCGAACTGGTTGCTATGACGTGTGCTGACCAGCAGGGGGCGAGCACGCATGCGGAACATGGCGGGCATCGGCAGCAGGCAGCAGAATGTGGAACATGGAGGGTGTTGGCCATGGTGGGACGGTGGAGCAGGTGAGCAGGGGCACCAGACCAAGGCAGGTGAGCCTCTGGTGGTTACTGAAAATTCTTTGCTCCAGCAGTTGCGCCCAGGACTTGCACCTGCTACCAGCGCCAGCCCTGCTTGCACCTGCTGCCGGCCCCGATCACCCAGCACCATCAGCGGGTGCCAGTGGCGGCTGGTCCCGATCGCCCCTCAGGGCTTCTCCACCTCCCCCTGCTCCTGAGGGGCGATTGGGCCGACAGCCGCTTCTCGCACCTGCTTCTGGCGCTGTAGCCATCGTTCACACCCACTGTTGGCACTGGCCCCGCTTGCACCTGCTGCCAGCACCTGGTGCCTTCAGCAGGTGCGAGCAGCGGCTGCCGGCCCAGATCACCCCTGAAGGCTTCTTCACCTCCCCCTGCTGCTGAGGGGCAATCGGGGCAGCAGCCACCGCTCGCACCTGCTGACAGTGCTGGCCCACTTGCACCCGCTGCTGGCGCCAGCCCTAATCGCTCTGCGCCTGTCAGCGGGTGCGAACGGGGCTGGCGCTGTCAGTGCATGGGAGCGGCAGCAGCAGGAGTGGGGCTGCCGGCAGACAGGGAACCGGGGACCGCGGAGGGAGGGGCCTGGCAGGGGCACGGAAGATGGGCTGAGACCCACCCCTGTGCCCACCGCAGCCCACAGTTCCTTTCAAGGTGCACGAATTTGTGCACTGGGCCCCTAGTGTTACAGAATTGTATCTGTTTGCCTGTGTGCTCTTCACTAACTCTGAAAGTGTCTTTCAGAGCTGCAATTTTGCAAAGTCTATAATGCTACCTTGACAAGAAAATGAGGTATTCCTCACCACGGAAACATCTAAACCCAAGCCCTGAGACACCCCTCGTGCATCTTCACCAGAAGGGAAGCTATCTTCTACTACAGGGATCAGGAGCAAGCAGGCACCTTCTCAATCATGCATGTCCCCTCCTTCATTATGAAACAGGTATGAGAATTCAGGAGCCATGAAATTAATTATTTTTGGAAAAATATTTTGCTCAATTATTCAGTGCAGAGAATAAACAATTAAATGCTACCCCTCCTCAATCTTCCCAATTCTGAGGAAGACATCCTGTCTGTGTCCGGGCCAATTAGAATTTACCATGGAAACAAAACATCAACCAAGAGCTGTTTGCAGACTACTTAAGCCTCAGAGAAGAGCTATATTCACAGGCCTACACTAGCATGTTGCCCTTGAGTTGGGATGTAATATCTGTAGAGCAGAAATTCTATATCTTACCTTTCACTTTTCATGACCATTAGGACATATTTTACCTAAGAGTCTTGTTTTCCAACATCACCTGAAACCCTGACCTGCACACTTCCCTGAGTGGGACACAGGGCTGCTGATCTAAATGAACAATTCTGGCATTGCTGGCTGTCCAAATAAACAGGCTGAAATTTGTTCCAAAAGTATCCCAAAGCTATCTCTTATGTCTTTCTATGGTTTCTTTCAATCTGTTCACTGCAATTTCTCCTAACTTTTTTTTAAAATATATATTTTATTGATTTTTTACAGAGAGGAAGGGAGAGGGACAGAGAGTTTGAAACATCGATGAGAGAGAAACATCGATCAGCTGCCTCCTGCACGCCCCCCCCCCCCCCCACTGGAGAAGTGCCCACAACCACAGTACATGCCCTTGACCAGAATCGAACCTGGGACCCTTCAGTCCGCAGGCCGACGCTCCATCCACTGAGCCAAACCGGTTAGGGCATAACTTTTCACTTTAGTTTCTTAGCTGCCACACGACATCACATTTAAGAAAACAGTTCATTGTGCCTGTGTTTTCTCTCTTCTTACTGACCATGTGTATTTAGTTTTTAAATACTGTGTGAAACAATGGGCATATGAACCACATTGTTACATTGTAATACCTCCTACCCATTACCCCCTCATCTCCAATGTCTAGTATGCCTGATCAACTCTTTCACACCATACCCATTTACAGAAGCAATTTCTGCAATCCAGTAATCTAAACCTCTTATTAGTGTGGTAAGTGTATGTATGAAAGAGCAATACACGCCTGAAACTGATCCCTCCACTGGGTACTCACCTTCTTCCTCCTCCTCCTCTTCTTCTTCTCCTTGGCCGCCTGGGCTTGCTTGTGCTCCCAGACCAGGTTGGTGAGGTTGGCCACATACTCATCGGTCTGCTGTAAAAGGTAAGCTAAACGCCTGTCTTTCTTTTGATCAATCAGTTTTCTGTAGCCCTCTTCATCTTCAGCCTGTTAAGGAAAGACGCCAGATTAGAGCCTAATGACAGTTTGTAGATGCTTTTTCCCCCTCCCCGTGACAGTCTGAACTCCAGTGGTGAGTGCAGCAGAGCGAATGCTCCAGGCTGCAAGGGTTCCCACACACAGGGAACCGGGCGCACAGGGGAGAGCGATGCCTACATCCCGGGACACTGGGGTTCGCGGCAAAGTCAGGACACATGGCCGCAGTATTTATGTGGTGTGATGGAGCACGCTGCGTCAGCTCTTTGTTCTTCTGTGTTTCTTTAACAGCACAAAAATGTTAAAATCGGACAATTCACCATCTAACGTTTATTTTTAACTTTGTATTTTGGAAATTTTCAAATACAATCAAAAGTGGAGAGAATAAGTATTTCTAAAGGCAAAATAATCAAATGGGCACTGAGCAAATAACTTCTTATACGTAAAAGCATTACACACATTGTGGTTGATAGGGGAGGTCAAATTTGGGGGATTTTTGTCATAACTGGCACTGTCCTTTTGGCCTACGTGACTGGGGACAAGTCAGCTACTACCTGACGTCTGATACTACCCAACAATAACACAGATGCAGTAATTCCCACTTCCACCTCCCATTCAGCCACATTATGAGGTTAAATGGGGTAAAAGCTCTAATATACTCTGTGCCATTTCAGGAGAAATCTTTTTTTTATGTCCCAATAAAAGGACACCTCTTGTGACGCAGGATAGAGGGAACAGGCCGCAAACGCCTCAGGAGGCGGCTGCGTTACAGAAGGGCCCAGCGCCTTCCTCAGGGGTGTCGCTCCAGCCTGTGCCCGTGTGACAGCAGGCTCACCCCTCAGTCTAGCTGCTGTCGGCCCCGTGGATGAGCACGAACCTCAAATGCTATTAGAACTCTAATTGCTTTTCGTTATGGTTGATCTCACTTGAAGAAAGAGTGATAGAAAACTTCAGTTTCTCTGTTATCTGTATATTCCATCATTTAATTGCAAAAATTAATGATTTGCAAATGCCTAATCATTAGTGTCAAACCAATCTGTTACTGAAGTGCTAATACAGCTTCACTTCGGTTGAATCAGACAAATCTGACTGCCGACTGCTCAGATTCCTCTGAAACAGTCTCCCGAGCTAATTAGACATTTCTTGGGCAGTCTTCTTCTTCACCCAAAAGGAGAGGAAGGCGGGAGAAGATGGTAAGATTTAGTAGGACCTATTTTAAAATATGGTGTTTACTCTCTGGGACCCCAAAAATCAATGAAAACAAAATGCAAACCTTAATCTCAGCGAGGAAGAAAGACACTGTCACTTGGAATTCCCCCAGGACATAATTATGGGCTGAGGCTCATGACTTTCTCTTCATGCAGGACTCAGGAGCTATGTCCCAGACAGAACCTGCAGGTCTCCTAGCACTCCAGATCACACACACTTGTGTAAAACCCACAGTGTTCTATGAGGCCCAATTACAAAAAAAAAAAAAAAAATGCCGACCAATGAAATCAATCAATCTCTTCTGTGATATACATTCACTGAAAAATAACAGTGCAAAAATAATAACCCCTGACTAACCTCTGACAATACCCTCCCGCCGCTATAAACAAAAAGCAACATTTCAAAATTAACGTAACAATCACTTTTTACATTGTTAGAGAAAAATTTCTGCCATAAAAAAAAAAGACATCAGGTTCCAAGACACAACGTAATGAGCTATTCATTCAAAACAACGTGTGCCATTAGTCTCAAAGAGGCAGTATTTTAAAAAGAACTGCCATTTCCAGCCTTTCAGATCTGGTTATCAAAATTCCCAAGAGATACAGTACCTTCCTTTATGTGAGAAGCTAAATCTGAGCAGCAATGCCATCCTAGGACGTGGGAAAACTATACTGACCAGCTGTAACCCAAGATGTGTGACGTGCATTGTCCAGGAAAGAGGCTGTTTGAACTCCATCCGCATGAAGTTAAGGGGACATGGTCATACATTTGGTAAGCAGCTTCTCCTTCCTCCTTCTACTAGGGCATATTGAACACTCCCAATACAGGATGCGAGAGGGGCATTGTCCCGGGCTCCTCACCATCAGTCTGCGCATCCTCTCCTTTTCGATCCGCTCCGTCTCTTTCTTCTGCTCCCTCTCGGTGTTGGCGTGCCACGTGGCCACCGCTTTGGAAAGCTTCTGGATCTTCCCGGCCACAGAACGATGGTACTCTTTGAAATCTTTCGCATGTTGCAAAATGCTGTTCAGGTATTCCTGAAGGATCCCAAGGGGAGTAGAAAAGAAAACTGAAAACCCATTTCCCAAGGCCCTGGAGGTTCCAGCCTAGTCCAGGAAAAACGCTCAGTGTGCATTTCACAACAACAAAGACCAGAAACCTGGGACTATTCTGGGATAGGTGCCCTGCTGTGTGTCTCCATAGCTGAGTGCGGGCTGCCGGGCTGGTGGGAGAGTGACCTCTCAAAGTTTATCTTCGTGCCAGCCTGTGGAAGAGCGGTCTCTGAAGCTTTGACGGTGTGACCGCATGAAAATGGAAAGATAAAAAATGGAGGGGATAAAAAGAAAAAGGAGAGGAACCTGAAAAATGAAAATGATAAAATTAAAAGCCAATCGTTCTCAAATAAACCTGAGGGACATGGGTATATCCAGTGAGAATTATGTTATAAAAGTAATGTTTCCTCTGCTCTGACTCCTTAGAGTCCCAGCCGAGGAGCTAGGCCTGATACTCCAAAGGTTGCAGGTTTGATCCCCAGTCAGGGTACATGCAAGAAGCAACCAATGAATGCATAAATAGGTGGAACAAAACAATGTTTCTCTCTCTCCCTAAAAAAAGCAATAAAAAAATTTAACTATCTTAGAATTGTGACTCAAGATTTTATAGGAAGCTAAAACTCCTTAAGTAACTGGTACATATTTTTTAAATAATGGGGGAGGGGAGTGTACCCTTATGTACACTAACTCTGACATTTTTTTAAAAACGAACCTAGGATAGGCACTAAACTGAGCACAAAAAGACAAATAAATTATAGATAGGCTTAGGAAATCAAATCCTACATCAAAATATTTCCAAACCCCTAGAAAGGAATGTTCCTAAATATCTGCCCCTATAAAACCTCCAACTGGGCCCGTCACAGAGCCCTGGACACCATATTTGTCTGTGTTATTAAAAATAACTCTTTGCTTTCTTCTTTCCAAGTTCCCCAGGATTTTGCTGTGGGAATCCCACCCAGACCGCAGCTTTCCAGGGGAATAGGAAGGTGACACCTGATTGGAACGAAGAAAGCCCAAGTCACCTGGCCTAAGTGTCCCCGACTACACAATGGAGACTATGTGAGCTCCCAGGGACTTTTCTGCTCCGTGATGCCCCCTCCGCCCACCGCGCACGTTTCCAGCCCTTCTGCTCCAGCCGGTTACTGAGTTGGACGTGTCTGTAAACACGAGGACCGGCAAAGCCAGGCCGTGGTACCTGGTGCTTCTGCCGGCGCTTCCTCTCCTGCTCGATCTTCTGCTGCTTCTCCAGCTTCTCCGTCATGCGGGCTTCCCTCAGGGTCTGGCGCTTGCTCCGCTTGTACGCTTTGGAGTTGAGAGCCGTCTCCAGGGTCGTGTCCCGCCGCATGCAGGCCACCACCTCCTGCCTCAGCTGTGGGAGGAAAGCAGTGAGAGAGGCTCCCTGAGCAGTGGCCAGACCCCTGACCCTCTCCTTCTCTCGTTTCCCCTGAGTGGGGCAGAAGGGGGATGCTACAGGTTTCTCACTCACAGTTGGCCTTTTTAGTAAATAAAGGGACTAAATCATACCAAATTTATGTGGCATGGCTTTTTAAGATGGTATAGCTTTTCTTTACAAATAATTCAAGAAAAAAAGCAATTATAGCATTACAACATTAAAAAAATAAAGTAGATATTTTAAATAAAGTTATTCATCCTATTTAATTATTCCAATGATACCAATTAGTTAATAAGATTTAATTTTTTTAACTTTGTCTTAAATGCCATACTAACGGGCTCCTCGTTTTTAAAAAGATTATCTTTAATGATGCTCTGCAAAATGAACAGAAGGATTACTTCCTGTTCATGGACAATGGCAGCAGATACTCAGTGTTAATTCATAGTCTCATGTAAAAGACAAGAGATACAAGTTTGGGCTTCTTCCCAATTCTAACAATGATATTCTTTGAAAGATATTCAAAGTTTAAACTATATCACGAACTTTTTTTAGGTGATCATAAGTATAATAACTTATCCATTTTGTATGTTATGTGGTGATAGAGGGTGGAAATTGAAAATATACATCAAAATAATAATTCAATTGAATCTGAAATCAGCATGAATTACAGCTCATTTCATTGGGAAACTTCTTAGATAATAGAATTTTTCAATAATATCAAGCAAAAATCAGAGACAAATAAGAGTCTAGCATAGTGAAGCTAATTTGAATATAATGTTATTCCTAAAAATATACTTCAGTAATATTTTTTAAACAAAATCTTATCAAACACTTTATCAATGTATTTTATGAAGTCACCTATAAGAAGGAAGAAAATGGAACTCAGAGACGTTTTCTTTCTTTGCTTTTTTTTTTTAATTTCTAAATTTTTTTTTTTAAGTTCTAATCTACTCTCACAAACCTATGACCAAGCAGCACCCAGCCACACTGATGCCCCTTGGTGATATTATAACCAACTAGAGGCCCAATGCACGAATTTTTTGCAAGAGTAGGCCTTCCTTCCCCTAGCTGCCGGCACTGGCTTCCCTCTGGCATCCGGGACCCTGACTGGCTTCCCTCGGGGCCACCCGTAGGCACCAGGGACCCGGGCTGGCTTCCCTCCAGCCCCAGCTTTGTCAGGAAGGATGTCCGGAATGACGCCTGGAAGATGTCCAGTCTATTAGCATATTACCCTTTTATTATTATAGATAAGGCAAATGTACTCCCAAGGTCATATGACAATAGCAAGTGAGGTGGCCTTGTGATTTTAATCACATCCTCCAATAGACCAAGTCATGCAATTCACTTTCATTCATTAGTAACTCATTTTGCATGCCCTAGGACAGTGATGGCGAACCTTCTGAGCTCGGCGTGTCAGCATTTTGAAAAACCCTAACTTAACTCTGGTGCCATGTCACATATAGAAATTTTTTGATATTTGCAACCATAGTAAAACAAAGATTTATATTTTTGATATTTATTTTATATATTTAAATGCCATTTAACAAAGAAAAATCAACCAAAAAAATGAGTTCGCGTGTCACCTCTGACACGCGTGTCATAGGCTCGCCATCATTGCCCTAGGACCTTAACCAAGCAAACCCATCTGACTGATGGCAAAGTGCCCCTTTTTCTGTTTGGCTAAATGAGGCAGCCTGCAGACCAGGAGACCTGCAGACAGGTCCCTAAGACAAAACTCACCAAAGTGAAAATTAGCTCTATGTCATTCCACTGGTGTCCTACTGACTTAGCAATTCTAAAGCAGATCATTATGCCAGTGTTTATTAATCAGTGACTACTATGAACCATAGCAGGAACAACAGATAATAACTCATTGGTTACTCAGTGCATAGGTCTGACAGGATCAAATGCACCAAACTTGTGTTGTGGTGAATAATCAAGTTACAAGACACAGGTTTATGTATTTCTATAAATGCTGGACTACTAATTTAGCAGAGTGGCTATTGTCTTTGTTAAAATATGTTCCCGGTCATGCTAGGACAGTGATGCCGAACCTTCTGAGCTCGGCGTGTCAGCATTTTGAAAAACCCTAACTTAACTTTGGTGCTGTGTCACATATAGAAATTTTTTGATATTTGCAACCATAGTAAAAACAAAGACTTATATTTTTGATATTTATTTTATATATTTAAATGCCATTTAACAAAGAAAAATCAACCAAAAAAATGAGTTCGCGTGTCACCTCTGACACGGGTGTCATAGGTTCGCCATCACTGTGCTAGGATTATACATTTGTGCTTACAAAGAAGCTCTCATCTACCACGTGACTGTTTTTCTTGGGAGTCATAAAGGCAAACACGAGCTATCTCATTTGTTCTCAAGGTTTCGTCCACGGTAACAAACCGCCATAACTCTGACTTTGTAAACCATCCTGCAGGTGGGAAAAAATGTATCTGATACACAGGCGAGAAAAACAGAATAATAAGCAGTTCGTCTTCAGTGCTTTTAGCTCTCTGCTGCTGGTCTGAAAGATACACGGTGTTACTAAGTTTCTATCTTTATGACAATATTGAAGAGACTTGAGGAAACACACCGATCTCCAACAATTACATTCATTTCCTCCGCCTCAGATTTGCTGGGGAAAAGGTAATACCTGACGTTGGAAATTGAGTAACCGAAGTGCTTTCAGTTCCACGGTTGCTTTGGTTCGTAAATCTGGTGGCAAAGACCCCGGCAGGTTTTCCAGTTCTTGTATCCTGTGAGCTATGCGAGCCTGAAGCCTAAGGAAGATAGTAAAACAGGGGCGGGAGAGATGGAAATATACATTACAGTTCAGTCTTAAATGACAAACAGTAACACTAGGTTCAAGTTCATGGCAAAACCTATCCCAGACACTCATGGCTGGTTTCTGACACCCAACCAGATTTTCTGATGTTAAACAGAGAAAAGCCACCCTTGCATTAATGCAGACAGGTGCTATATGTTGCTTAACACTCTGGTCTTGGACATAACCTTTCTCTAACACCCAGGAAAGGAGGCTCATGATACATGTAGGAGGAACATCAAGTGCCACTGCTCGCTCTGAACAGAGAGAGAAAATGAGAGGCAGGAAACTCTGCTTGCTCCAAAAGCCCAGGCGGCCACTGGCAGGCGGGCTGAAAGTCTCCTTTCCAACTCTGGTTCTGTCCTACGGCCACGGGGCCATCTGCCCGCCTTGCCAAGATGCTGATGATGACAGCCTTTAAAGCCGAGTGAACAAGAGCACTTGTAGATGCTGAGGCCACAGAAATCGGCCAACCCAAAACATTCAGAGAGAGCCCTGCCGACCACAGCCACTTCCTCTCTGAGCAATGCTTGCTGGGGGAAAGAAAAGGCAACTTAGGCGTTTTTAAAAATCAGGTTTGGGGCAGCAGCAACCAGCAAAGTAAACAGTATTTAAAAACTGGGAGTTTCTAGAAAAGGACTGCTGGGGATTCTCACTTTAGACACTATCAAAAATATAACTGCAGGTAACTCCTCATGAGGGAAAATAGGAGACATCCCACTGTCTTCATTCATCTGGGACACCAGGACTGTTACTCACAGAAACGCCTGGTTCTGGAGTTCACCTGGATTCTTTTTTTTGCAAATAATTATATGCCATTTAAATCTATTTTGAGAACTATCTTCCCCAAAATTTGGGGCAAAACTGTCTTGGAAGAGACTTCAAAAGAAAGAATAGTAATAAAAAAGGCAGTAAGCTAAACTAAGTTAACATGAACTGCACTGCGTTAAGTACATTTGATGCACAATTTTAATTCTCTCTCTCTCTCTCTCTCTCTCTCTCTCTCTCTCTCTCTCTCTCTCTCTCTCTCACACACACACACACACACACACACACACACACACCCCTCAAGGTATAATGGTGCTGTTACTGATGGGAAAACAGAAGCCTGGCGATGTTAAGAAACACGTTGACTTCAGAGCTAATAAAGGAGGTCTCTAGACGGAACCTCCTTTGCCTGACACTAAACCATCACAGGGTAATTAAAATAGACTTTCTAGCTGAGAACTTTTCTGGATCTCAACTATAAACGTTGATCATTTAAGATTCTGTTAAAAATTAGTATTATGGTTCATCAACTTTTACAATGATGTGTGTGTGTGTGTGTATTATATATATATATATATATATATATATATGTGCATGAAAAGTAAAATCTGTGGCTTGTATCTGAAAAAGAAGTAAAATCTGTGACTTAGATGTGCAAAATATCTTAGGATTTCATATGGTCCAAATATCAAAATGATTGTTTAAAAAAAAACCCACAAAAAATAACTTTGTTATTTGCCTTGGTAGAGAAGTAAAATGTCCTCTTTTTCAAAATTTTAATGGTAATAAAGGAAATGCATTGTTTTTCATTGATTTAACTGAAAATAATATAACAGATTCCTACTTTATTGTATCCAGATCAATTTCCTAAATAGCCACATAGCCCCAAATCTCCAAATACTGCAACAGATGATGCATCTTAACAATTAAGATATTAAGAGAAAAACCTTTTGTGGATTTTTTCAAATATATAATTTAAAGAAGTAACTAAACTGAAACAATTTCCCTTTTGTAGAATAAGGCCGTAGTAAAAGGAAAATTAAATATAAAGGGGTGAGATGAGGGCCAAGGATGGGGTATTCTCCTTCCTTGGTTCTAGAGTCATTTCAGACCTTTTGCATTTGAAAAGCCCAGAACCCAAACCATCCCCTGCTGTTCTGGTTTACTCTCTTTGACAAAGTGGGTCAGGTGCTAAATTAAAGGAATAGCTGTGTTTCCCTTAATCTTCTGAAGAACTAAATAAATAATCTTAGGACAGTTGGACCGACAGTGTAGAGATTAAATCACGCTGATCTGGGCGGTGGGAGCTGGGGAGTGGAGGGGGGAAGAAGGGAGGTGGGGACTGGGGGTGGATGTGGCCTTGGGGGACTGGGGCACTGCAGTGGGTGAGGAGCTGGGGTGGTGGTGGGGGGGGGGTGGGGGGGTGGTGGAATGACACTTCTTCCTGAAATGACTGCTCCTTTCCAAAGGACCTAGTCATTTGTCAGTGAATCTCAGATTCCCCAGCACAAAAGAATCTCTTTTTTATGAAAGGGAGGCAAGAAGTACAGAGTACAAACGTGCGAAGTATAGGGGAAGGGGAGGGTGAAATTATATGCATTCAATTCAGCACGTGGGGGGTGGGGGTGGGGTGGGGGCCAAGGTACAGGAGGGGCTTCTTTAACACAGAAAATGTTGTCTTTTGGTGGTGGTGGTTGTTAATGGAAATCTTCATTTTAAATAATGCTTCTCTCCAGACAATTTCATCTTCCTATCAATGGGATTCAGCAGGTTGCCCGATAAAGAGATTCAGGATTCTCAACTTGTCGAAACAACAACAGCTGTAATACTGCCTGACTGCAGGAGGCTCATTTAGTGTCCTCACGAGCTCAGAAAATTGAAGCAGAATTAGGTCACTCAAGTTTTTCATACAGATTGAACAGTAAATCAGGAAGGGTGACTGTTCTGGCAAGAAAAAGAGTTCCATTAAAGGCAACAGATATTTTGTTCAGGTCCAGAGGAGAAGTTTATGATTCCTGCAGGAGAGTTATTTGAACAGAAAATGACACTGGTACATTTTGTTCCTGCAAGGAGCTGAGTGACACTTTTAGAAAGAGAGCGAGGGAGGGAGACCGACTTTTTGTAACTCTGCTGATAAAGTGGCCCTTGGTAATTTTTGAGCAGGAATTTTCAGGGTTGTAATGGATACCAGGGAGGACAAAAAGAAAAAAAAAACACCCAAAAAACACTGGCTATATTTGCTTCCAGAAGCAAAATTCTGCCTTGATAAGCAGAGGGCTGACAGAACACAGAAATGCTCTTCCTTCGAATCTGAAATCCATCTCCCATGCAAACATTTGTGGAATTAGTTTACATGCTAATGTGACAATGCCTGGAGCCCTTTTGCCCAAACATCTAACTCTCAATGGAGGAACTGAAGTTAGGTATGTTGGTGGGCAAAGGAAGTGTGCCAAAAAGACAAGACACCCAGACGAAAAGCATTGGGACATCTCTCTGACACTCACTACAGAGAAAAGCAATAAAGTTCCTTTCAAAGAGAAAGGCTCCGATTCAAATGGGCAAACTGTTTTAACTGGAGACTTTGTACAGATCTGAGGCAAACTATTCACATGCATACACTTATTTACGCTATTACTAAATAAAGAAGGCCAATTTGTCAAAATCCTTGCATGATGAACAGGGAAAAGCAGCCAAGGGACTTAACATTAAAAAAAATTTAAGATTCTGACAATTTCCTTCCAATTTTCATAGACAAGATAAGTGATATCATAACGGTCAAAGAAATGAACATCTGTTAAAGAATTTTTGACAGATGACTCTGCTCAAACTAAAGTTTATAAAATTGTAAAAGAGATTTTTTGTTTGTTAATCCTCACCCAAGGATTTTTCCCCCCATTGATTTGTAGAGAGATTGGAAGGGAGGGAGAGAGGGAGAGAGGGGGAGAGAGAGAGAGAGAGAGAGAGAGGGAGAGAGAGAGAGAGAGAGAGAGAGGGAGAGAGAGAGAGAGAAACATCGATGTGAGAGAGACATATTGATTGGTTGCCTCCCACACGGGCCCTGACCAGGGTCAGGGGTCAAGCCTGCAACCAAGGTCCTACAACCGAGATCCTGCAACCGAGGTACGTGCCCTTGACTGGAATCGAACCCAGGACCCCTCAGTCTGAGAACCGATGCTCTAACCACTGAGAAACCGGCTAGGGCTACAATGGATATTTTTAAGACCTTGCTCAAATCCTTGATCAGAAGGTACAAGTACACTGGGCCCTCCCAGTTACCAGTGCTACAGGCTAAGTAGGCCATTCTCTCCAAGAGGGGCAAGTGGAAATGCCTCCAAGCTGTCTTTACAAGGGCCCAAGGGTCTTAATCTACCCTTTTTAAGAGAAAAATTTTACTAATCTCGGCAGGTGAACAATTTATCTTCGTATCGGCAGAAACCAGCTGTTGTTCTATAAGGAAGCTAGAAGATGCCCCTGCGATGCAGCAGGTGCAAACCTGTGCCCCTCAGGATGGCCATGGGAAACTCAGTCCAAAGGCCCCTCCAGCTGTCTGGACCCAGGGTTGCCAGATCAATCATTTCAAAAGCCACGAAGCCTCACAAACAAGGAGACATTTGTCAAGTCATAATACTATGAAAAACAGCCATTCCACCACACTCTACAAGGCATATAGTTTAAGAGATACTGACAGATACATTATTTTTTTTATTACTATAGGAGTGAAGGACAAAAGCTTTTCTTATGTTGGAATAGGCTAAATAGCACTCTTAATGCTGTATACCTATTAAGATCACTTCCACCTATTAAGATCACTTCCAAAAAAGGTGCTGAAATGAGCTCAGTACAAGAAAGGTCTGTAATTAAAATCCTGGTGAAAATGAAAGAAAAATTAGGAGCCAGTAAGAGACACACACACACACACACACACACACACACACACACACACAACACAGGTTGAATAAAGAAAAAAAAATACAGATGCAATTCTAGATACAGAGAGTATCTCTGATGTTATGAAGGTAATTCACATGACTTAACAAAGGTACTGGTAGGTTTGTGCCTTCAGGGTAGGAAAAAAATGTTCACTCTTAGGAAGTCAGAATTTTAGAGTAAATGATACTCTCTATCCCATTTACTGTCTTTTAAAAATTGCTTTTGATTTTTTATAGCAACATAAAAGATTGTACATAAATATAGTTTTTCTGTCCAAGAAATATTTGCTAATATTTGACCTTATAATACACAGCAATTATTCACCCAACAAAACCAGCCTATGAACACTGAAATAGCTACAGATGATGAGCATCTAGCTCCCCAGGGATACATGAAATGCTGGAAACAGCAACATAAAAGCTCTTAATTGAGGATTAGCAATAGTAATGAGACTACAGTTACACTCTTCATAAAAAAAACAACAACAACTGCACACATTTAACGGCAAGTTACTGTGGTTTCTTTCAGGATAAGTCTCAAAGCTGATAGCTTAGTATTTTAATCTAGTAATGAATAAGTCATGCGTTTTTCAATAAAGTTTAAGGTAATGTTTGAAAAGGGAGCCTATTACATTGTTACTAACATTCTCTGTAATTTTTAAACTCTAATTTTCTGTTCAATTAAATCATTTTGGGAAAATAATACTAATAGCTAATATGTATTAAACGTCTTTGTGTCATTTTATCTCCTCCCACAAGAAATACTCGAAGATCCTCTTTTAACAAATGAGGAAATTAAGTCGCAGAAAAGAGATGGAACTACTAGACCAAGGCAACACAGCTAGAAAGTGACGAGCATGATTTCTGCTAACTCCAGAAACCATGATCTGAGCTTTGCTTTCATTTGACTCAGTACTTATTGGTCTCCCTTTTGGTTAACATTAACCATGTACATGAGGGGTCGGCTAACAATGGCCTGTGGGCCAATCCTGCCCATAGCCTCTTTTTGTAAATAAAGTTTTTTTGGAACACAGTCAGCCCATTATCATCTGGGCTGCTTTCTCACTCAAAGGCAGAGATGAGTAGTTGTCAAAGAGATCATATGGCCCTGCAAAGCGTAAAATATTTACTACCTGGACCTTTACCGAGAAGGTTTGCCAACTCCTGATTTAGATAAATGTGCCAAATCAGGTGAAAATTACGTTTCTGGAGGAAGAGTTTAAAGGACCCCATAGGAAGACACTTACATAGGGCTTACTCCTAACGTTGGACCAAGGCATAGACCAAGTGCTCGCTTCAGCAGCACATATACTAAAAAGGCATACACCTAAATAATGCATGAATTTAAACAAAAAATATAGTATACTTTAGTATATATATAAAGTGTACTTTAGTATCATGAAGGTCAGGCCAACACAAAACACTCAACATCTGACCAACTTGCAGTCACCAATCAAGGACAAGCTGGCAAACTAGATCAGGCACCCCATAATCTGTGTGCGACAACCACTTCTGTTCACATCCCCAGCGCCTAACACCGTGCCTGACACGTCACAGGGGTTGGTAAAGGTGTCCCGATTAAATGAGTGAAAATCACAGAGCTGCCAACCCAGAGCCATCGGAGAGCCCCCCACCACAACCACCTCCCCACCCCACTTTGCTGAAATCATTCCCATCGCATGAGTTTTGGCCTCTGCAATCATCCTTGGGCCTGGGCCTTTCCCTCAACCATAGAGAGGAGCAAGGAAAGCCCTGGGAGACTGCATCCACCCCCAGGCTCGGTGAGACTTGCAAGAACCCCCGGGACGGGGTGCATTACCTATATTCCCGCTCCTGCAGAATCTCCACGGGGTCCAAGCCTTGCGGTTTCTGAATGGGGCTGATCCGGCTCTGCTTCTGCTGCAGCTGCAGGATGGGCGAGGGCTGCCCGGGCGCGGGCTGCGGCACCGAGGGCCCGGGCACTGCGGCCGTGGGCGGCTGCGCTGCTGCGGGGGGCGCGGGCGAGGGCCGGCCGCTGGGTGCGGGCACTGGCAGCTTCTGCGGGGTGCTCGGGCCGCTCAACTCCGGCCCGGGGCCTGTGGGACAAGAGTGATATGAGCAGCTTGGGCGGGTCATTGACCTGCGGCCATACCAGGCCTGCCCGCTGTCCCCCTGGGGCCCAGGGATGGTGACCAGTAAATATCGCAAGAGAAGAAAAAAGGAGGGAAGAAAAATAAAAAAGGAGGTGTGGAGAGGAAAGGCGGGGCCAGAGAAATAAGAACCTGGGGCAAGGAAAATGGCATTCACTAAGGAGCATTCGTGGGAATGGCCCCCAAATGACCCCTAAATAGTAAACTGACTAAAGGATGGGCTGCCAGACTTTGATGTCGGTCTACATCAAAAGTGGATTTTTAAAAAGAACTACAGGTGCATTCAGAGTTCAGAAAAGTAAGGGAATAACCGAAGTCAGTTAGGTTATTACAAAGTGAGTTGATAACATAACCTAAGTCAGATGCAAACTGGGTGTGGTCCTAAAATCACACTCAGTCCCCGCTGGACGGGCCCTGCTGTTAGAGCCAGGCCTCACAAACGCAGCCAGGAGCCTGCGGTCCTCTGGTGTGAACTCAAGAGGGCAGGCATTTCCCCTTCATGACCTATCAAGTATAGCTCAGATTAAATCAGTGCATCTCAGAACTTCAATTTCTTACTACATATTAGAGATATTTCTAAAAACTTTCAGTGCAGAGGAAAAACAATAGGCTCGTTCCACCTAATAAAAACTAGCAAATATGAAGATTAAAGGGAGCATTCTTTGCATGTTATCAGAACAAAGGGATATGCATTCACCAAGCTTACTGAACTGTACTTAATACGTTAATTTAAAGCAACTGTCCACATTGTACTTAAGAGGTTGGGATGGTAAGTATGGGCCTAACATAGGAAGATTCCATCTCTCCTCCTAAGTGGATTTTTACTTACTTCAAAATTATAAATATGATTAGAGGTGCCGCCAGATGACTTAGTAAATTAGAGAAAAGAAAATCTCAGTAAGCAGAAGTTAAAACCTCTCACAGGCATTCTTTCAAGAACTGTCTTTATCTTTTCCAAGAAAAATTAAGATGATTCAATCAATGGTGACAAAAATAATAGTCTATACACTTCAGAATGACTTAATAATTAACCATACAAAGACATACATTATGAAAAATTAAACACTTTTATTCAATTTCCAACACATACCTTTTAGAAATGGGCTTACATGACAATGCACAGGTAGCCATAAGCAAACACTCTGACAGGAGGAATGTGAAGAATTAGAACAAACTGCTTAGGAAACTGCAGAGTGAGTGTGTGTGTGTGTGTGTGTGTGTGTGTGTGGTGTTACTACTGTTCCTTTCCCCCCCTTCTTCTGAAGTTAGGTAAAACTTTCCAAAAGATACAGAGCTTGATAAGACTTCTTGAGGTAATTGGTAGCCCTGGTTCTGGTGTTGATGAAGAACTCTTGAGGGAAAAATATTTATTTTTATTGTAGGCATTTTAGGTGTACTATCATAATAAAGAGATCCTTTTCAACTAAGTACTTTCTGGTGTGTGTGTGTTTGTTTTGTTTTCTGAAATGAGAGGTCTTTTGCATAGTGCATAGCTTTCCATATTTTATACTGTACTTAGAGTTTCTTTCATCCATATATAAGAAACCAACTTCTAAGCATTAAACCTCAGGGTTGTTAAGCATTGGCATGAGTTACAGAGAGACATTTCAGGATAGCTTTTTCCCTAGAGGTCTTTAACAACAGGGTAGATTTTTCACTTGGGGTGCTTTAGGTGATCCAGCCAGAAGAGAGGAGCTGGAGATTTTTAACACTTGCTTTAATCTTCTGTAATTCTACGAATCTCCTTAATAAGCTCAGGAAACTGGCAGAATTGGATATATCTGAAGGCTTGGTGTAGCATACTAAATAATGAAAACCCCCACCACCTTTAATAAAAAAGAACATGTGGGTCTTACTGAGAAGATAATATCATAATAATTACCTTAAATCCAGTTCTCGAATTGTTTTTCCTCTTTCCAAAGTTTAAATAATTCATCAACAAAAAGCCATAAAAGCGTAATACTGTTACAAGTTTCAATTATTCTGGGCATTTTTTCTTTAGCATCATAGTCTGCAAATACCTATGCAGAAGCCTATGATGACTCCTTGATGTATATATTCAAGTCACTATTTTTAAAAACCACATTCTCCCCCCCCCCCCAAAAAAAAGGCACCCAGAGCATGTGTGATATCCCTGGTTCCGAATCTAGTCACTTTTAGCCGCTGACTCCCAACTAAAGCTGATACACGCATGACTGGCCTTTGGCCGATAAATATAAAGGCATTCTTATCTGGTTGATTGGACCTTAAAATTGAGAAGCAGAGACAGAGACCCAAACATGGGTGTACACAGCCAAATCTCCAACTTAAAAAGGACTACAAATTACTGTGGATTAAACAGGGACACGTAAAGCGCCCTGGACCAAAAGAACGGTAAGCGTCCCCTCAGCTCTATCGCCAGCTGGCTGCGTGAGCCTGAGCAGCTGCCTTAACCCCTGTGCCTCAGTTTCCCCATCTGCAGAATGGCGGTAATAACAGTGCCCACCTCAGAGGGTGGCAGTGAGGATTCAATGAGACAATGCAACTCTGCTCCATCCTCAGCTTTTGTCATTTTTGCTGCCACCAAGGACACAGAGATAAAGAAGTCTAATTTAACTACGCAGCTCTGCACAGACTGCATGGCAAAGAAAGGACTTGGGGAAATTGGGTATGGTCTTAGCTGGCAACTCTGGAAATGCCCCTTTCTCTACAGCAAACTTCAGAATGTTCCCAGAGTTTAATACAACTCAGCACAAATACGCCGAGAAGCCGGCTTGCCCTGCGCTTCCTGGGAACCTGCCATCAGACTCACTGACAGGCAAACTCCTTTCCTAACTAAACACACACGTTTATTTACTGCGTGGGTCTGCTTTCCACTCCCTCCAACCGATTCTAGAAAAACTTCTATTTGCAGAGGCAGCTGGCCACAAGCAGACATGCCCAGAATGGCACCACCTGTCCCTAGGTTTTCTGCCCGTCCCTCAGGCGGCTGAGAGTGGAGCTGCCAGGCTGGAAATCATCTCCACAGCAGACACTGGTGGTCTGCTAACTGGTAAGACCTCTCCCTGGTATCTGCAAGTGGAAGACAAATTACATTCTTTAGCTTATCTCCGACTCCCTCTACAACGTAAACAGTTTAGGCTTAATTGTCAGAGGCACAAAATGCATCTGCTTTCCCTTCGGTCCTCACCTTAGAAGTCAAGGTAGAGGGATGCTCCGACTCCCCTGAGGGGCATCCCAGTGCAGCTAAGGGGAGGGGGGTCTTTACTGGAGGCACCCCATGCCTGAGGTGAAGAAACAGGGAAACAAACTCATTCAAACACCTCAGTCTCACAAGTGCAGAATGTCTATGCATTCGGAGTTCCCAATTTGCCTTCTGGCTCACAAAGGTATTTAGGCAAATAACAATTCTGTGCATTAAAGAAGGATTGAAATGGTTTCCACAGATTTAAAAAAAATATGGCCTGTCCGGCGTGGCTGAGTGGTTGAGGGTCGACCTATGAACCAGGAGGTCACAGTTCAATTCCCGCCAGGTCACATGCCCTGGTTGCGGGCTCCATCCCCAGCAGGGGGCGTGCAGGAGGCAGCCAATCAATGATTCTCTCTCATCATTGATGCTTCTATCTCTCTCTCCCTCTCCCTTCCTCTTTGAAATCAATAAAAATATATTCAAAAGAAAAAAGAAATGTAATAAAGCATACTTACATTGAACATACCAAGAAACTTTAGCTGACTAAAAAGTGGAAGTGGAAGGGGACTGAAAAGGCTGAGCAATAAAACTTTTACTTTCTACCATAAAGTCCTGCCTGCACCCCTCCACCACCAACCCAAATCTTTTTCAGTTCCCATTTTTAATTTTGCTTTAGTATCTAAAAGGAAAAACGAATCAGAATGAAAAGAAAAATGATGGGTTAGATTTGAGGGGAGCCCATAACAGGACTGAAGAGTTATTTGCTCGGTGAGCAATTCCTCCAGTCAAACTGTAATTCTCTGGTGGTAGCTATGATGATGTCAATTTTGGTGATTTATAACCTTGGAGCAGGTTTGAGGCAGACCACCCCAGCCAAAAAGATTCTCTTCAGACATGAACAGCACCAGAAAATGGGACAAAAGGAAAATGAAATCACAGCTACCTGCAGATAAGTGGACATACTTAAACTTACTTTTTCTGAAATATTTGTAGAGGTATTTATAAGCAGTTATACTTTATTTTAAAAGGGGAGGGGGCAGGCGGGTGTTGCTCAATGTATTGAGCACCGCCCAATGGACCAAGAGGTCCCGGGTTCAACGCCCAGGTGGCAGGCTCGATCCCCAGTGGGGGCATGCAGGAGAGAGCCGATGGATATGTCTCTCTCATCGATATTTCTATTTCTCTCCCTCTCCCTTCCTCTCTGAAATCAACAAAATATTTTTTAAAAAGAGGGAGAGGAAGATAAACAGTAACACCAATAAAAGGTAATATTACCTTAAAGAAAACTTGTCCCCTTATTTTGACTTGTCCTAGATGCCAATCCAAAAAACGTCTTTGTCAGGGAAGGTTATCATCTCCCTGTGAAACCTGAGATTTGGGGAAAAGTTCAGCAATGCTGTTAGAGGCGACGCCCTTCCCGGGGCAGGAATGGGCCTGCTCTATTTGAGGAGGTATCTGCTTTCCTCCTCCATCCACTCTGGCATAAAACACTGTCTGCCCAAATATTTCCATTTCTAGGGAAGCCTGACTCCTGGAAATCCAAAAGACATGAGCAGTGAGTAATAAAGTGAATTCCTGCCCTGGCCGGTTTGGCTCGGTGGATAGAGCGTCGGCCTGCGGACTGAAGGGTCCCAGGTTTGATTCCGGTCAAGGGCATGTACCTTGGTTGCGGGCACATCCCCGGTAGGGGGTGTGCAGGAAGCAGTTGATCGATGTTTCTCTCTCATCGATGTTTCTATCTCTCTATCCCTCTCCCTTCCTCTCTGTAAAAAATCAATAAAATATATTTTAAAAATAAATAAATAAAGCGAATTCCTCCAGATGACAGGGGCCTGGTAAGGGAAGATGTAGGCATCGAGCTGGGTTAAAAAAATGAAGCCCTCTCTTCTGGAAATGATCCAGAAAACACACAGGATCCTGTTTATTAGGACAGGAAGTATTTGTTATGTTCAAGTATCCAGACACCTGGAACTTCATCCTTTAACCTTCCCAAAGAAAACAACATTCATGGAAGGGCACCCTATAGCCCCCTGTAACTCTGAATTCTACCAGTGGCATGAAGTCAGACCACCAGAAGGCCATACAAGGACTATCTCATCTCAACACGTGACATATGTCATAGCCTCGACTTTGATCCCAGGATACGTAAGAACACTAGGCCATGTGGATTCTGTTATTCCATTTACGATGAACAAGTGTTATCGATACCTCCCGTCATGCAGCACCACTTACAATAACAACATAATTTAAAACAACAATTCCAGCCCTGGTTCAGGTGGCCCAGTTGATTGGAGCATTGTTCATACACCAAAAGGTTGTGGGTTCGATTCCCAGTCAGGGCATATACCAAGGTTTCAGGTTCAATTCTTGGTCTAGGCACATATGGGAGGCAACCCATCAATGTTTCTCATATCAATGTCTCTCTCTCTATCTCCCTCTCTAAAATCAATAAAAAATATATCCTCAGGTGAGTATTAAAATAATAATGGTAATAAATTCCACGTAGGAAACCCACTTTTTACTCTCAAGCTACAAATGGGCCTGTGTCCTCTGTGAACTGGTGAGCAACTTCCTTCCGAATGGTGAGAATTAGGTGCCTGACCCTGTCTCCTTTCCTGCCTGGACACCCGTCATCTTGGATGCTCAGATGCACAACCATGAGAACTCCTGTGGCCCCTACATGCTTGACCTGGACTTGCATTTCCCTTTGTTTCTGATTTTCTATTGGACAATTATTTCACTGCAGGTATGTTTCTTGGAAACCTCTCCAAATGCTTTTCACAACGAAAGGGAGAGGAAGAGATCAATCAAAGGGCATAAGATGGCTTGAGGGAGTAGATTCAAGGAGTACGTTCTTAGCGATGGAACGCACTGGGTGCAGACTTCTTCCCCTGGGGCTGGTGGACGGGCTCCCGCAAACCTTGCACCTCTTGAAAGAGAATGCAAAATCACGGGAGACAGTGCCTTTTGCCCAGGTCTACAGCTTGCACCAGAGTCCCCAACGGTTGAGAAGCTCAAACAGCAGAAAAGACCAGGAATCTGGGCCAACTAAGTAAAGCAAGGCAAGGGAACCGGCCGGCCAGGTACAGCGAAAGGCTGAGACAGCCCTGGGCTTCTACCAACCCAGTGCTTCTGTGCCATCAGCAGTCTTTCTCCTCCGAGTTGGACCATCACATGATTCATGTGGTTGCATATTAACCTACCAGATGGTCTGTTGAAGTTAACAAGGGCCTGCTGCTGCGGCTGCTGCGGCTGGGGCGGCGGCTGCTGCGGCGGCGGTGGCTGCTGCTGCTGCTGCATGCCAGGCAACGTCCTTTTCCCCTGGACTGCGAGCTGCAGCGTTTCGGGAAGGTGCTGGCCCCGGGCCAGCATTTTGTAAGCTAAAATCTGAGCCCGCAGCTGATGCAGCTGGACAGGACTGAAAGGCGAGGGACCTCTGTTGGGCTGGTTCATCGCCTGCGGATCGCCAGGGATGAGGGGCCCTGGCTGGTTCGGTGGCATCTGGGGTGGGGTAGGGCCGCCTCCCGACGACATAGGGCTGGAGATATGCTCTGCAGCTCCCAGGGGAGATGGGTGTGGTGACATATAACCTAGAAGAAAACACAAAAGGAAATCACAGGCCGCCCCTGATGACCCTGGAAGAGAGGCATTCCTGGATATTTTGGTAATTTTCTACAACAGCACTGTCTGATAGAAATTTAAAATGTATGTAATGTAATCATCACATTATATAACAAAATTTATATATATCAAATATATATAATTTAAATTTTTCTAGTAGTTACATTAAAAAGTAAAAGAAGCAGATAAAACTAATGTTAATAATATATTTCATTTAAGTCAACGTACCCAAGATATTATCATTTCAAAATGTAACAATTGGTAAAGAGACATCTGCATCCTTTGTTCACCATCTCGATTCAGACCAGCCACGTTTCAAGTGACCAATAGCCACCATGTGTCCTCGAAGGTAAACTGTTAGTGGCTGCTGTCCACCTACAGGAAGGCACCTGGGGGTAAGTCTCACACATTAAAAGGAGCTCCAACCTCGAAACAAAACCCGCAGGTGTCTGCTATCTCACAATGTGAAATGAAGCGTCTCTTACGGAGGCAAACATTACATGGCTTATTATGCACATTAGGAACAGTTTGCAATCATCGAGGGTCTGCACTGCTGTAGGAGTGCACATGGCACCGTACATGTTGTCTTCGCTGAGTTCTCCCTGGAAACAGCCTGACGGAAGGATGGAGTGCAGGTGACGCCCCTGGAAGGAGCAAGGACACTGGCAGGGGATGGAAAGGTGAGCTCAGGAAGGGAAGGCAGCCAGTAAGGGCTGTGCTGTTGAGCCAGCTGCTGCAGCGGGTGCCTGAAGATTAATCTCATGCAGGAGCTCTGGTATATAAAGTAAGTAACTTGCCTCCACGTCACCCCGGGGAGGAGTACGGAGCTGGGTGTTAACACTCTAGGGATCACCTGTCAGTGCTCATGTCACTGGGTTCTTTCTAGGGTCTAATATTAACTGTTTGATAAAAATATTATTAACTTTGTTTCTTAAAGACTTAAAAGTTTCAAAAATCTTCTAAAGACCACAATACATAAAAATGAGAGTAAACAGTTTGGGTTGTAAGAGATCTAAATGGGAAGTTTAAGAATACTTTTCTTGAGGAAAAAAAGGCAAAATGAACAAAAATTGCAAGGAACTTGTTTCAGGAGTTGAACTGTGTAGCTCAGCCACCGAATTCCTAGCAAAACCTATGACTGTGTGTCGCTGGAGGGAGACCCAAGATGAAGGAGAGAACCAAGTGGCCGACTGCAATCTGAGAGGTTGCCTTGACTTCAAACCAAGTGCTAATTAATGAAGTCAAAGGTGTCCTCAGACACAATAGAAAAGATCAGATGAAAGGTCTCTGCTCTAATAAATGGACCTGTGTCATAATTATAATAAAGGTCAGCACCTCGGTGTTTATTGGAAAAGTGCTGTGTGTTTGAACCTTTGTTGAGTTTGAGCTGAAACAGCTTTGTGCACCTATGTGGGACCATCGCGACCTGAGGCTGTGACTGCCACAGGCTGGGGACTCACATCGCCCTTCACCAGACTACAGAAAGGAAAGGACACAGTTACTTTCACTTCAGATTGACAGTGGGAAAGGGAAACACATTTAGCTTGATCCCCTAAGACGAGAGTAGGGTTTGTTCGATCAATTGGTGACCAGTAGAACCCCTTTCAGAGAAATACTGTCCTGAAGAGAAATGAAGAACTACCCTCATTCCCCAAATCCCTACTCCATAGGGAGCACAAAACCACACAGCAATCAGGGTTCTAGTTGGTCATATGTTAGCCAAGAAAATGCCCCTGAAATCAGCCTGCAAAGCTAACAGAAATTTAATCCCAATAATATACACCTATCTTCATCATTAACAACATTCTTCCTTTTTTAATGAGGCTTAGCTCTCTAATTGTAATGCTGGTGCAAAGCTTTTGTTCATTATAAAAGCACCTTCCAGACACCTTTTGGCCAACCCTGCACCTATCACAGGGAGAAAAACTTCCTACCAAAGCTAATGACACTCATAGTAGAAGGTGTTAAAATGGGTCATATGTCTCCTGCCTCTGGTCTCTCCTATTTCCTAAGGTTATCAATTACAGCTTACTTATGATAAATCAGAAGATGCCTAACATAATGAACCAAAACATAATGAACAATCCAGTCTTAATTATATAACATTGTTTATCATATCTCGTGTAAACTGTGAACTGTGGGCAAAGTTATGAATATGAGACAGTTACATTATGCACAATAATTAATTGTACTTTAAACTGGTTAAAAAAGAAACTGAAAGTAGAATAAAAATCACTTTCTGTAATTAATCAATAAACAAAATTTTACCTCAAATTTATAAGAAGAAACTGAAGGTGGGAAAATTGCTTCCTAGAATTGATAGGGGATGTCAATAGAATCATTCTATCACAGAATGATATTAAAGACTAGAGGCCTGGTGCACAAATTCGTGCACCAGTGGGGTCCCTCGGCCTGGTGGGGTCCCTGCGGGATAGGGACAAAACTGGCTTTCCAACATCCCTGAGGGGTCCCGGATTGCGAGAGGGCGCAGGCCAGGCCAAGGGACCCCACCGGTGCATGATCAGGGCCAGGGAGGGACGCAGGAGTTTGGCCAGCCTGGGAGAGACTGTGGGAGGGCTCCAGGGCATGTCCAGCCTGTCTCGCTCAGTCCCAATTGGCCGGACCCCAGCAGCAAGCTAACCTACCAGTTGGAGCATCTGCCCCCTGGTGGTCAATGCATTGTCATAGCGACTGGTCGGCTGGTCAACTGTTTGCCCCCTGGTGGTCAGTGCACATCATAGCGAGCGGTTGAGCAGCCTTAGCATATCATTAGCATATTATGCTTTGATTGGTTGAACTAAGGACCAGATGACTGGACACTTAGCATATTAGGCTTTTATTATATAGGATGTGACAGTGATTCAGATAAAGAGAATTTTTTGTTCTAAATGACTAGCATTCAATAAACTTTAGGTAAAACAGAATCTAAACAATGAAACAAAGTATTTTGGCAATTATCTTTAGTTGAAGAAACAGAGTGAGGAAATTGCCCAAGTGTGAGCATTTGTCTGAGGATGACAATGTTGATACAGAATCTGCTCTTTTTGAAATCTAGTTTGATATGCTCATTCAAAGCAGTCAAAACGTGGCAGTTTTCTTTTCCTCGTCCTCAAAGGCCATTATCTCCCCAGTTTCACCTTGCCTCAGAGCGACACAACCATCTTTCTCCTTTTAATAATCTTGAACTTATAAGTGCCAATTTTATATGAATTTTCTCTATACACACACACACACACTCACACATGCAAACACGAAATATTATATACTTGCCTTTGAAGACTTTTTTTTTTTTACCCAAGGACTAAAAATAAACAATGTTATCATTGGGACCATAAGGTACACAATTCAGTATTTATTGAAAGAAATGGTTTTGCTTCTCAACCAATCACTTAAAATAACTTAATAGGTTGCTAGGTAGTTAAAGCTGGCAGCTTTCTGATCAATACCACATCTCTCTGTACCTGTGTGTTTATAAATGGCTCTCTACACTAGGGTTTTTAAAGATACATGTTATTATAGAGTCTAAAGTCTTTAAAAATCATTATACTAAATAAGACTGCATTATACCAATACTACTTTGTCAAAAATACATGTTTAAATAACTCATTCCCCAGCCTACAACGCACTTTTACTATTTTAGAGAAAAATATTACATGCTAATTTTGATTCCACTTAATGCAGACCCCTGCATTTCAAAGTAATTATAATTTACTGAAATAATATAACAATTAAGAGTTATTTAAAATTGTTGATTTCTGAGTGCATAGGTTCACTTCTCTACCTAATTGAACACAATTTACTAAGTATGTATCCAGTTATGTGCTACATACACATTGGTGCCAAGTGTTGGAGAGTCCAAGAAAAATCATCATCCTTAAGTTGATGAAAGGAGCCAAGCAATGAGAGAAATTTGAAGATACATAAAAGTAAAAATACTCCATTAAAATTCATGCATTTTGGAGTTTTCCCATGGCCCACAGTTAGAGGCACTACAAAGCCAGAACAGATAGAGCAAGCACATGGCTTTGCAAATAACTGAATACAGCTCATCTGCACTTCCCAAGTATTAAAAATTAGAGCTACATTAGCTCTGTGAACACACCTAGCTCCTTAGAATTTTAATTCATTCTTAACACTAAATAGGTCCATTTTTTTCTTCCTGGACTGTAAAAACGTCCCAAGACTTTTTCAGGATGCTTTTCTGACATGGTCAAGATTTTGTGAGTCATCTGCAACAACTATACCTACCTGTCATCAAAATTCAGATCAGAGTCTGGGATATTCACAACCCTGTTTGCATATTAATGAAGACACACTCCTATGCCACCATGACTTTCCATCTTTGAGGGCGGGGCAGTCAATTAGCATATTCCCTCCTTATTGGCTGTGGGTGCCGCCATCTTTGAGGGTGGGCCAGTCAATTAGCATATTCCCTCCTTATTGGCTGTGGGTGCCGCCATCTTTGCGATGATGTGAGGGTCAATTAGCATATTCCCTCTTTATTAGATAGAATAAAACTGACTACATTTTTCTAAATCCTTACACTCAAAAACCTTCTCTCAGGTGGTTGGAGGCCTAATCATGGATGGAGAAAGCTCATACTAGTATATATTAAATTACATAGGAGTATACAAAAGAATGCATAAACCATAAACTTTGAATTAGAATATCAACATATTGGGGTTAATTAGTGCTAGAATAACCCATGCCCCTTGCATGTTTAATGACCATACCATGATTCTGAAAACAAGTTACACTGTATTCAAAAGACTTTGAGGTATCTTTACATGCCTTCAACAGTGAGGGGAAAAGGCACCAAGAAGAAGAGAAATATTCCATATATTGATTTGGCCATTATTGCGGGTTGAATCGTGCCTTCTACAAAGATAAGTTTGAAACCCTAACCCCTAGTCCCTGTGAATGTAACCTTATTTGGGAATAGGATCCTTGCAGATGTAATCAAATTAAGATGAGGTTGCCGGGCCAGCATGGCTCAGTGGTTGAGCATTGATCTATGAACCAGGAGATAACAGTTCGATTCCCAGTTAGGGCACATGCCTGGGTTGTGGGCTCTGATACCCAGTAAGGGGTTGTGTGGGAGGCAGCTGATTGAGGATTCTCTCTCATCATTGATGCTTCTATCTCTTTCTCCCTGTCCCTTCCTCTCTGAAATCAATATATATATATATTTGAAAAGGATGAGGTCATAGTGAACTAGAGTAGGTCCTAATCTGATGACTGGTATCTTTATAAGAGGAGGGAAATCTGGAAACAGACACAGACACACAGGAAAAATGTCATGTGGAGACCAAGACAGAGATAGGAGGGATAGATCAGCAAGCCAAAGAATTCCAAGGATGTTGACAATCTACAGAAACTAGGAAGAGGCAACAAATTCTTCCTACAGTCCTCAGAGCGCACGGCCCTGCTGGTACCTTGATTTCAGACTTCTAGTCTCCTGTGAAAGAATGATTTTCCATTGTTTGAAGCCACCCAGTTTGTGGTAATTTGTTACGGCAGGCCTAGGAGACTAATACAACTACCCCCACCAGCAATGACAGGTAATTCCACTGCCAAAAAAAGGCACCTTTCAGACACCGTATGTATGAATATGCAGTTTGAGGGACTCAGGAGGCGCATTGTGCCTTGACATCTGCTGTTGTTGGGAGGCAGACCAGGATCCTCCTTCCGGCCCTGTCACTTACAGGTGGTGGAAATTGGGAAAACAAAGTAAATTCTCTTTTATCCCATCTATAAAACCGGGATGATATAATTCACCTCACTAGATCATGATAAAGATTCCGAATGAAGGACACAGGGCACTCTGCTAGCTAGTGGAAGCCAGTAAAATTACTAGGATTTTGTTAGTAAAAGTGACCACATGAATAATCAAGTTGTGTTGGTGGGGCCTGGGGGAGATTTCTATAGAGAAAAGGAACGTGCTGGATTCACTCTTCCTCTGACATGTTCTTTGGAAGTCACAGTTAAAATAACCGATATGAAAGATGAACGACTACGGTTTGAAGCCAAAATCAGGCATGTAGCATTACAGACCTTGGCTGTGTTGATCCATCGGACTCTGGGGCGGGCCCATCCCGGGGTGAGGTGGTCGCATGCCGGTGCCCTTCATGGACCCGCAGTGGATGTCTTCTACAATGCCCTTGTCGTGCATGCCATCCATGGGCTGAAACAGGCGAAGCACCGCTGTTAGATACCTCCTTTATATAGAGCATCTCTACCTGGAGTTGTAAGTCCCCTCTCTAAAGTCCTCAAAACTGTGGCACAATCACCTATCACCCATACGATAGTCATATATTTTTACACCTACATTACACATATTATTATAATATATTACATATCTTTTAGAGGTGGGGACAAAAAAATTAAAAAGACTACATCAATAGGATCATCAAAACTACCTGTTAAGTCAAAAGTTAAGACTATAAACTGTTGAATTTTTCCTGTAACGTCAAAACCTGAAAGTAAAAATAAAATTCTGCTCAGAAGGTATACAAATAAAAGCTGTTCTTCCATACCTTCTTAAGTAAGTCCTGAAACCTGCCCTGTGTTGAAGTGTCTCAAGTCTGAAGGAAGACTATTTAAAATGTCTGTGATGATCGATTTTTTGGGTAATTTTTTGTCATCAGAGCGGAAGGGACTATGGAAAGTTGAAAAGTTGAAACCAGAGAGTTCCATGGCAGTTGGGAAAAGAGAAACAGACCGGGTAGAGCAGAGAATGGGGTGACCACTGAAAGGGAAGGGCAGTGAAACAGATGAAGCTGTGCCACAGAGGGGGGCAAGACTGAAAAAGGTTAAAGGCACAGTTTAGGGAAAAATTAAGAACACAGGGTCTGGGAACAGGACTTGAGGCCTAGTATATAACAGACACACAATAAATAGCTATTGAGCGGACGTTAATCCAATCCAGAATTGGGCATCGGAGCATGTGTTTGGGAAAGGCAAAGTCGATTCCTCTGCAAACTGCAACAGCAATTTTCAAAAACAGCCTGAAAGGAATATTTCCAGGAGTTTATAGAAACCAAATAACTTCAAGCAAGAAAGCATGAATGTTTGCAGTTTTGGAGAAAGGAAAGTTAATTTCTGCAGAGTCAAAAGCATGCACTTGAAAAGAGGAAAAATGTACCATAAAGAGGATGTTCAGAAGAAAAACGGGAAGGGTTTGGTATAAAGACTGTCTCTGAGTGTGTTAAATAGTAATAATAGGGAGGAAATCAAAGCAACACAGCAGATGCATTTAGGCCACTTGTTTATTTATTTCCAGTAACGTTGCAAAGCAAAAAGCTGACGCTCAGAGGGAGAAGGGGGAGAAAGACAAGGAAGACAGCTGTCCATAAAAAGAGTAAGAAAGCGAAGGCATCTGGTCAGCAGGTGTGAATGTAGGCACTAAACCCGTCCTCACCCAGGGAATTATCTGAGGGGCTGGGGGCTCAGGAGAACCAGATTGGCAAAAAAAAAAATGCACACCTTGCAGAATGAGAGCAAAACCAAACAAAACAGAGTTTAGATGGGGGTAGAGAATATGAGGACATGTGAACAGAAGGGGCCGGAAGAGATGATTATTAATAAAAACAACCCAGTGCAAAAATGTAACACTGACCCGACACTTATTTATATAGCTAACGTTTTTTAAAATATATTTTTATTGATTTCAGAGAGGTAGGAAGAGGGAGAGAGAGAGAGAAACATCCATGATGAGAGAGACTCATGGAGCAGCTGCCTCCTGCAAGTCCCCCACTGGGGATCGAGCCTACAACGCAGGCATGTGCCCTTGACCGGAATCGAACCTGGGACCTTTCAGTTTGCAGGCCGATGCTCTATCCACTGAGCCACACCGGCTGGGGCCAGCTAACTTTTAAATGCTTAAATAATCATAGAGATTAGCTAAATATGTCCTTCACATTTTATCTTTCATTTTGGAGGTGAGACATCCTTAACCCATTCTGAAATTATTTAACCCATCTGGACTAAGGTTTTACAAGTGACAGATCAGATCTATAATACAACTCCCAAATTAATTTAATATGAGCAAAAGACAATTTAATGACTTCAGTCTGTCTATATGTTCAATATGTCTGCTAAAAATATGATATAAAAAACAGTTTCATTTCATCAGCTACCTGACAAGCTAAAACGTGTTTGTTTTTCTTTTTCTAAAAATAAAAGGAGAGAGAACTTGGGAACATTATAGGGATATTCACAATATATTTTTAAATGCAAAGAAGAAAGTTGCAGAGTAATTAAGTAGGAATATGATTCTATTATGGTGAAAGAAAAATTATTTTAAAAAAATCACACCTGTGTATGATTTTTACTGAGCATGGAGAAAAGTAAGGTGTGAAAAGCTGTCAACTGGGGTAGAGCCAGGATTAACCATTTCCTTTATTTATCTCAGTATGGTTTCATTTTTTCAAAATAAGCACTATATTACTTTTCTGATTTGAAAATCATCAAATTACAAAATTTGTAAAGAAGTGGGTCTTTTCTTTTGGTCTCCAATGCCTTAGCTTAAAATTGACCTACAGTCCCACACAATTAGAAGAAAGACTTGCTCTTTTTTGCAGTAATCTTTCCGTTTTAAACCAGTATCTCCCATGTTTTGTCTATTTAACATTAAGAGGCATCCCACCACCTTATCCCCGTGATGTCATCCACAGGGGACATAAAACCTCTACTGTCTCATCAGGCACGACCTTCAGGTAATATGCAGTGGCCTCACAGAGTTTCCTTGACTTTTGCTAACTTTCAAAGCAAATTGTCTCAGAGGCTCTTGTTTACTTGCTCCAAAGGCTGTTCTCTCCTCTTTGCATGTCCTGTGAAGGCCTAATGCCAAAACTGTCCCAGTATGACCATCCCCACAGCAACAATCCAAGTCTCACAAACAGAGGATCATTATAACAGTCCAGAAACAGACGGCTGGCCCCGAGCTCTGCTAAATCAGGCCCCTCTCCCAGAATGAAGCCACTGAGAGAGACAGCCAAGTGCCTGCAAGGGCCTCCCTAGAAACTACCTAAAATCTTTAGGAGGGGACTCATGTTCCTTTTACTCTTTGAGATCTAATTTTTAAAATAAACACCAACATTTTAAAGAAAGAATAATTCTCAGTATGTTCATTTGTGGATGATATAAGTTACTGAACACATAGTCACACTTATTCATTTATACACTTATTCACCAAGCCAAAATAGCTGCAACCCATACATCAGAGAATTTAACTATCAGAACTGCATATTCTATCTTATCTTTTTAAAAAGCCACAATCTCATCTTCCTGACTAGTGCAACATCTGTAACAATAAACAAGCCTCAGAAGGTATGTTTTTAATAATATTCAGGGTAAGACAAAGACCTAGCTTCTCTGGTAAAAGTAGCAGAAACAGAGGGGCAGGGGTTACCAGGGACATTAGCCGTCCATGACACAGAAGATGAGCCTGAACAGGAGAAGAACCTCTTACCTTGTGCATCTGATGCATGCCTTCCTGGGGGAAGTCGGCAGACCCCATCGTCGGCATAGGGTGTGAGACACTTGGAGGTCCAGGACTTGGCCCCATCATACTGTGGACGGAACCTGGAGATGGTCCAGGTCCCGGACTAGGTCCGAGAATCGGTCCAGGAGAGGGTCCGGGCCCTGGCGAAGGCCCTGGGTGGGGCATCGCACCAGGGTCAGTGGGTGTGGACATCTACTTCTCCTGTCTCTGCCAGTCAGTACAATGATACTGAGTTGAAAAGAAGGGGGAAAAAAAGGAATGTTTTCAACATGATGCTAAGATCAGAATAAAACAGTTGTTAGTATTTGACGGTGCCATTTTTATAACAAACATCAAACAGAACTGCCCTGCCTGCTCCAGATGTTTGAATGTGATATATATCCATCTGCCCTAGTCTTTATGAAGACCACTTGTTTAAAAGAAAAAAATACTCTAAATGATTCCCCAGAAAGATATAAATCATCTAAGATACAAAAAGTACTCACTGGAGAAACTCAAATTTAGCACATAAGCAGAATTCTGAACAAGTTTAAAATTTATTACTGAAGCCAACAGATGCTCTCCATTACTTACTGGCTGGGGCACCTAGCAAGTCATTAACCTCCCAAAGCCATTAAAATATAACCCCCTTAAAACATATCCAACCAACATCCATTTTCATAAGTAAATGGACATTCAAAACTTCATGGAACCCTGGCCGAGCCTCTGCATCCCCTTTGTCCCCCGCTGGCTAAAAAAAAAAAAAAAAAAAAAAAAAAAACTTCATGGAAAATCCTAGGTAGTTAAAATCCCAGATAGCGAAAAAGTACAATTCCATAAATTGAGAATGAAAGAGAATCCCCAATCATAGGAAAAGCAGAGGTCATGGGAGTCAGACAAATATGGGTTCACATATCCATGTGATATAATTATTAGCTGAGAGTGAAATGCAACAATACATGTAAAAACACAGTTCTTTGCCTGGCACAATAAGCAGCCATCTATTATTATTAAGCAGCCATCTATTATTATTATTATTATTATTATTATTATTACAAAATTGGTATTCAGATTATATATATTTCAGGTGTTCAACATTATAGATGTTTGGATACACTGCATGGTGTTCACCGCTGTAAATCTAGTTACCATCCATCACCATACAATTGACCCCCTTTACCCATTTCACACTCCTCTCAACACCTTTCCCATCTGTTCTTTCTATGATTTTGTTTGTTCATTGCTTTTTTTTAAGATTCCACATATAAGTGAAATCATACAGTATTTGTCTTCTCCGTCTGACTTGTTTCACTTAGCATAATACTGCCCTCAAGAGTTCCTTCCTTTTAACGGCTGAGTAATTTCCATTTTCTTTATCCATTCATCTACCAATGGGCACTTAAGCTATTTCCATGTTTTAGCTATTGTAAATAATACTGCAAGGAACATAAAGGTGCCTATATCTTTTCAAATTAGTGTTTTCTTCTCCTGTGCCCACTCTTTTTAGCATTATTTTCCCACCACCTCCACAAAACCAGAGGTGATCAGAAGGATCAGTTTAAGACGTGGTCCTCCTGCCAGCCAATGGAAGACAACTTGGACAGTCGAGAATTCGTCCTAGGCCTCTCTGTGGTCCAATATTCCAAGAGAAGCCATCCATGACGCCTGGATCAGGGCCCACCACAGATGAGGTATGTCAATTCTGGGTCTATTTCAGCAAAGTCATATTCCATCGCCCACGCTCTGAAACTTCTTGGCATCCCCACTGAGGAGCTCCCTCATGGGGTGGGTACAACTGCATCTTGGACATGAGCCAAAAACGAGTAAATACGTGTTTTTCCAAATCCTGATGGAGATCAATGATCCCAGAAAGATAGCTGAATGCCACTAGTGATAGTAATTATTACACAGTACGTTATCTGGGGGCACACACCTGTACACACAAAAACTTTCTGCTGTTACCCTCACAAAATACAGAATGAGACACCATAAGGGATTTAATTACCCACTGCTTAGTGGCAGGGACAGAATTAGACCACAAGGGCCCAGTCACCTATAACAAGGCCCTCTCCACAGTGAAAGTAGAGGTTTAAAAAAAAAACCCCACATTAGTTCCATTCTTAGCTACCTACTATCACCTCTCGCAGAATCTCTAGACTGTGAAGGCCATGAAGACAGGTTTGGCTCTTTTTCATTCCTCTGACCAGCATGTAGTAAGTGCTCAAAAAAAATCTGAATGAACTGAAATGACAATTTCAAGGGCAAACGATTAACAGAGTCAATTATTTTATATATAAAAATTATAGAGCAATCGGTGTCTGAGGTGTGTTCACAGGGACCAGTTTGTAAAGTATGACTGCCTAATCATTATACTATGCACCTGAAACTAACAGAAAATAATATTGAATGTAATCTGTAATTGAAAAAAAGAAACCTTAAAAGCGTAGGCAAGAACTCAGGACAGAAGTCAGACACAGACAAATACAGCAGTCCTCGGGTTACGTCGGACTCCACGTACATCGTTTCGTGGTTACGTCGCCATTTCCCATTTCGTTATTAAAAAAAAAAGTTCCATAATTTCAACGTATGTACATATGTGCTTTATGTTTTTTATTATTTATTTACCACAAGTAAAGGTGAGGAATTGTTCTTTTTTAAAAATTTTTTTTACTGTTTCACTTCATTACTGCTGTGTATGTGCTCCATGTGAGTGACGTAGGTGCTTATGTAGGTGGGTTCAGACTTATGGCAAAAATCGCGTCACGCTGTGCTTTAGGAACGGATCTCCGACGTAACCCAAGGACCTGCTGTACCATGTGATTTCACTTGTATGTAGAATCTAAAAAAAAAAACAAAACAAAAACACATACAAAACAAAAGAGCAACAGACTCACAGATAGAACAAACTGATGGTTGTCAGAGTGAAAGGGGTGGGGAATAAGTGAAAAATGTGAAGGGGAATAAGAGTACAAGCTTCCAGTTATTAGATAAAGAAGCCACAGGGATATAGTGTACAACACAGGAGATATAGTAAATATATTAAAAAAGGCTAATATGCAAATTGACTGAACAGCAGAACTACCGGTCGCTATGACGCGCACTGACCACCAGGGGCAGATGCTCAACACAGGAGCTGTACCCTGGTGGTAAGTGCGCTCCCACAAGGGGAGCGCCACTCAACCAGAAGCCAGGCTCATGGCTGGTGAGCGCAGCAGCAGTGGCAGGAGCCTCTCCTGCCTCCGCGACCGCCCTAAGGATGTCCGACTGCTGGAATGGGCTCCCGGATTGCAAGAGGGCACAGGCCGGGCTGAGGGACACTCCTAGTGCACGAATTTCGTGCACTGGGCCTCTAGTATCATAATAGCATTGCATAATGACTGTTAATAGACTTATTGTGGTGATCACATTGCAAGGCATATAAACAACAAATCATCATGTTGCACACCAGAAACTAATACAATTGTATATGCCAACTATACTTTAGTAAAAAATTTTTTAAAAAGAATTTAGGGCATTCTGATGAGTTGGGGCTAAAACGGAAAGCGATGATAAGCTGCTTTGGAGTGAATATAAGCAGGGGATCACTCAAACTCTTTTGCTGATAGAAGATGGGACCAAAAATGTAGTTCAAGCAGTTTCTAAAACAACAGGGAAGCCCCGCGGGTGAATTACAGCCTTGAATTCTCTAGAGAGCCAAATGTTATTATTTATTCTTTGTGATTAACAAAGCAGACGGAAGTAACAATTTTTGGCAGCCCACCCCTTCACACACACACACACACACACACACACACACACACACGTTCAGTCAGCATTTTAAATTTAGGAAGCCAACGTCAATTCAGGGGCATTACAAGTTATGTTCTTTTATGTATGTCAGCAAACTAATACACCCCTTTATTTTTTTGTGAATAAGAGGAAATTGCTTACTTCCAGTTATAATTTACCTTGAAATAGGCTTCAATAGCTACAATAATATACCACAAACCTGAGCAATGACAATACAAGTACTTTGCCTGGTAGTCCTACTTTTCATGTTTTAATATATATTACCTATAATACTCCTTTCTACAAATATGATCGCCTTCATCTGGGAATCTCATAGAATGCTGTGATTACCTATACACAGCCCCATAACTATGCTCCTCATTTTTAATTTTTGTTAAAGGAAACTACTAAAAACTTAAAGTGAAAAACACATGAGAAGGACAAGGGAAAAGTATGGACATATAAGTGGAATATTAATACCATGCAGTTAACTTTTTACTAAGAGAACCTTCAGATGCATACACGTAATGAATGTGCCATTACATAGCATGACTCACAAATGAGAAACTAGCTCAGAGAAATAGCACAGTCTAGTAGAACGCGCCCGCGTGCCACAGGGCTCATGATTGGCAGGAATCTGGACTGTCACACACCTTGAATGTGGTACTTACTCTCTGGCTTCTGACTGGGAGCCCAGAAACCTGAGTCTTTCCTCTCAGAGTCACCACTAATTCTAGGGCCCTGAGCCAAGTGCCTTTCCCTCGGGGTCTCTAGTCCTCCTCTGGGCTTGGGATAGGAGTATCTCAAGGCTCCCCCTGTCTGTCTATCCGATGATGGGGAGCATCTCGCAACCTTCCTGCACGTGAGGAGGCTCTGTGGCCAGATCTGGGCGTCCCAGGACGGGCATCTTGCTGCCACCACAGGTGTGCTGAAGAGGAGCACCTCTCAGAGATGCGGTGCAGTCCTGGCCTCTTCATTTCTGGTGGCAACTTGACAGCACAGCTCAGGTGCCTGATGAAACCTCCCCACAGTGTAAAGCAAGGGGGGGGGGGGGGTAATAAACGACAACAGCTACCAGTCTTTGGCGGCTGTGCATGTTGTTACTAAGTGACTATGATTAAGGTTTAAAGCCCAGTATTGGCCAACTGGGCTTCTCCCTCTTCAACCCTGCAGGTATCCCTAGGAATCCAACCCCCCTTCCTTCCTTTCTTCTTCAAAGGGCGAATGAAATGCTGCAGACAGGGTGGTGAGGGAGAGGAGAGAGCTCAGATAACCTTGATAGGGTAGTGGTTGATCTGTCCACAAGATAACACCCAAAACTTATTTTTATTTTGTGTTGGGGGAGGGAGTTTTACATTGTCACAGAAAAGAACAACCAGTTCCACAACTATGTGGCTAATATAATGAAGAAAATGTGTGTGTGTGTGGGGGGGGAGGGCGGGCATGGAGGCGAGGTAAGGCACAGTGACCTCCCCATACAA